ACCCCCTCCCCCTCCCTCTCTCTGCCTGTATGCACAAAGGAAGGCCATGTGAGGGCATAACCAGGAAGAGGGCCCTCACCAAGAACCCAACCATGCTGACACCTTGATCTTGGACTTCCACCCTCCAGAACTGTGAGAAATAACTGTCTGTTGCTGGAGCCGCCCTATTTATGGTATTCTGTTAAGGCAGCCTGGACTATTCCTTGTGGTGGGTGCCGTCCTAGGCATTGTAGGATATGGAGCAACACCCCTGGCCTCAACCCATTAGATGCCAGTAGCATCCCCTCCCCTTTACCCCCAGTTGCGAATCACTGGATTAGACCAAATTTCCTTATAGTCCTAAATTTAGGATTCTATTTTTGATTCAAAGAATATTTGAACAATAAATTCACAGGGTTCTGAATAGAACCTCTAGGACAGAAATCTCAGGGAGTTTGGTAGTTAAGGTGCTCAGCTTCTGGAGTCCAGAAGATCTTGGCCACTGGTTGGATGATCTTCGGTACAGTATTCCAACTTTTAGGTGCCTCAGTATCCTTGTCCAAAAAATGAGGCTGTTCATAATACCTGTCGCATCAGGCTATGGTGAGGTTGAGTGGAGATGTACATGAAGCATTTATAATAGTACTGTGCTTGCCAATACTAGGTGGCCATAAATACTAAATAAAAGGTATTGCTAATTTCATCATTAATATCTTGCCTCTGTTCCAACGGTTTCTATATTTCATCATTGACACATTTTTTTTTGGTAATAGTAACTACTTTTGAAAAACAAGTAAAAGAAAAGACTTGCATCAAAACACAGATGTGTAAGGGAGCTAACTCAAGATGGTACTTACTGCTTCTTCCCATCCAGTTCCAATAACAAATTCGTTGGCTTTTTCATCTTGTTCAAGTGTAATGTCACTGATATTGAGAAGACAACAAACATGATTCTTTTCGTTTTTTTCCTCTGGACAAGTATAGGTTAATTCAGCTTCTTCTGTGCTTTGAATTTCATTACTTTCACTATTTTCTAACTCAGTCTCATTTTTCTGGCAGAGATCCATTACTGTGATTACTATGGCAGTTGCTTAAAGTTTTTAACATCTTCTTCCTGTAGTTTGAAATGCGGATTGAACTCAGTTTTTAATACTGATTTTTTAAAAAAAGCAATTTAAGGGCCAGACGAGTGGCGCATTGGTTAGGAGTTAGCTTGGGATGCCAGCTCTGAGCAGCAGGGCCCTAGTTCAGATCCCACATGAGGGCCAGTGATGCTGTGCCCTCTACAGCTAAAATGGTGAACAACAGCTCAACCTGGAGCTGGGCTGCCATGAGTCGCCAGCGACGACGGCGTAGGCTGCAGTGAAGTTGAAGTGGGCTGCCATAAGCTACCCTGAGTGGCTGGCAGCTGGTGTGAGCTGCCAAGAGCTGCCGTGAGTGGCCATCCAGTGGCCGGTGACAGATCTGCCTCAGCCAGGAAGAGCGCAATGGGCCAGTGAAGTGACGTCCTCTACAACTAGACTGAAGAACAAAAGAACAGCAACTTGTCTGTTCCCCTTCCCCATTTCCCAATGCTATTCCCCTCCCCCAATACCCCAATTTAAAAAAAAAATCTAAAAAAAAGCAATTTAATAACTTAGGTGAAATATCTTCAAGACATTCAGGAATAAACTGAGAAGAAACATTATAAACGTATCCATTTTCAACTATTGGCATTATAAAAGATAAGGCTAATTTTAATTAAAGGCTAATGGATTTAATTAAAGACCAAAGTTGGGCATGAAAAAACCAGAAGAAGAAGAAGATGTGAGTACAGCCTCTATCCCTCATGTTGGGGTACAGACTGCCATAAGCAAAGTAGGTTTAAGTGCCCCTACCCTCCACTCCAAAAATATCCAAATGATATTGTGCTAATATGAAGAGAACTGCGGTGGGCGTGTGTCGCTAATGCACCCCAGTCTCCTCCTCTTTCCCATTCCAACAGCTCTGGATAATGGCTTGGGGATCCTTTGGGCTTCTGAGGAAACTGGTGGAGCATGTAGTCTGAGCTAAGTCAATTGGTTTGCTCTAATCTACCGTATATGATGGTGTCCTTATAGAAAGGGGAAATTTGGGCATAGATGCATGCATAGAGAGAAGAAGATAGAAAGAACCCAGGGAAAAGATGGCCATCTATAAGCCAAAAAAAGAGGACTGGAACAGATCCTCCCCTCATAGCCTTCAGAAGGAATCAACCCTGCCGACACCTTGATTTTGGACTTTGAGCCTCTAGAACTGTGAGACAACAAGCCACCCAGGCTGTGGTCCTTTGTTATGGCAGCCCTAGGAAACTGATACAGTAGATGGTGGTGACAGTGATGGTGATGGTGATGATGATGACGATACTATCTACCTTTAATTAAGGCTTTTCCAGATTGAAAAATGAGACTTGGCATTTATAACCCAGTCAAGGGGTTAGGAAGATTATAATCCTGATTATGAGCACAGACTACTGAGTGCCAAACAGCCAGGCTTCCCAAACTACTTATTAGCTGTGTGACCTTGGGTAAGTTACTTTTCTGGGTCTGTTTGCTCATCTACGAAAAGGGCAGGATTATCATACCTTCCCACAGACAGGGGTTCCTCCTGGGGACCCCACAAGCAGCACAGATGAACTCTAATGCGTAAGCAGTGACTAGACAATGATCCGGCTTAGTGCTAATGAACAGCCAGTGCTTTCTTGAGGAAGTCCTTGTTTGTAATGAGACAGGGTCCAATGGGGACCACACACCTTGCTTTCTCTCACCCCAATGTGATCTCTGCCAGAAACCCACATTTTTCATTTTCTGTTGAGGTAGAGGTAAGTAAATTTTTTATAACAATATCTGTCCAATTACTATTTCAGCTTTTTCACCTAGGCTTAAAGTGGCATTTTGATGGTAACAAAATTCCATTTATCTATGGAAGGTCAAATGATTTTTATTGGAGAATTGGGGGAGGAGAACAGCGTTGGGGAATTGGGGGAAGGGGAACAGACAAGTTGCTGTCCTTTTGTTCTTCAGTCTAGTTGTGGAGGACGTTGCTTCACTGGGCCATGTTGGTGTTATCATTGCGCTCTTCCTGGGTGAGGCAGTCACTCACCAACCATTGGACGGCTGCTCACGGCGGCTCACGGCAGCTCACGAAAGCACACGCCAGCTGCTAGCCAGCCCCACTGCAGCCTACGCCATCGCTGGCGACTCATGGCAGCCCAGCTCCAGGTCAAGCTGTTGTTCACCATCTTAGCTGTAGAGGGCACAGCGTCACTGGCCCTCATGTGGGATCCGAACCAGGACCCTGCTGCTTAGAGCTGGCGTCCCACGACAACTCCTAACCAACACACCACTCGGCTGGCCTTGGACATCCTAATCTTTTTACAATATGACATCAGAGGAAATTAATAAGATCTGAAAGGAAAAAACTTCCTATATTACAAGTAACTAAAAACTTACAAGTGCTATTTTGGTTACAAACATAAACATGATTAAGGATCTGACAGGTTGTGCAAACCAGCCCGATCCTTTCATATTGTAAAATTTCACTTCAGTAACTGCCCAGGCCAAAGAAGCTCCTAGACCTTATTCTCACCTGAATTACAAATACGTTTGTACCCCCAAACCCCATAGACTTAACATGCACATGTACAGTTCAAAAGGGGAAAAGCAGAGACTCAAAAGCAAAGCTTTTTATTAAATAATAAAACAAACTTAAACTTGAGGTTATTATAGCAATGAAATAGATACTGTTTAGGGAGAGTAGGTAGCTTTAGAATGTTCACATCAGTAAGAAAAATGTTCTGTGCTTCATCTCCACTGACAAGGCGTTCACCATTTAAAGCCTGCTAAAATGCAAAATGCTCTAATTTACTGGTTCCCAAACTTGGCTGCACCTTGGCATCATCTGGGGAGCTTTATAAAGAATAAAAATGCCCAGACCCCATCCACAAAGATTCTGATTCTAATTTGTCTGGGCACAGCCACGCCATCAGGATTTTTTTAATCACCCGAGGTGATTCTAAAATCCAGTAAACTTGGAGAACTACTGCTCTGTTAGAGCAGTATCTTTCTTATATCAAAGCAGCACTGCTTTCCCTGCCCCTTTAACATCCTCCACTTCTTGGTCCTAGTTTTGCCCTCCAGGGCAAGGCTCTGTGATGGGAAGCCTTCCCATCCATGGATGGGGTTCTATGATGCCTCTGAAGGTGCTCAATCAGTTTTTTAGGGAAGGGCCTACATCAGAGTTACAAAACAGTCTACAACCTACAAAAGGATGAAGAATCATTGATCCAGACATAGCCCTTTGCCTCTGCCTCCCAACGGCCCTATGAAAAAGTTCCGCTGTAATCTTCTCTCTTTCAGGTAAACCATCCTCAGCACCTTCTACTACTTCTCACATGCCATGAAAATTTTGAAATCTGAGGGAAAGCCTAGCATATATCTCTGAATCTATTCCTGTATATCTAGAGAGAGGAACAGCAGAGGCCCAGGATGCAATGTTGGGTAAGCCCCTATTTTGGAGTCAGTAGAATTGGACCGAGTGAGGGCACCAAAAGAGGTTCTAGTCACATTATATTACAAAGGGCCAAAAGAAACCCAGGTAACAATAATAATTTAGTAATAAAACTTACTGTTACATAGCTCTAACTATGTGCTAGGCACTGTGATAAGCACTTTACATATTTGTTATACATACTACATTTTTATAAGTACTTTACTAATTTCATACTAATTCCACCTGTTGGCAGCTCAGCGGCAGCTCAGCTCGGGCCGGGACTGGAACCGCTGTTGCTCAGAGCTCGCACTCTTGAGCGAGCTCTTAACCAACTTAGCCACTCGGCCGGCCCCAGTACTTTACTTATTTTATGGGGGATCACGGGAACTATATATTGACTCCTTATGACTGAAAACTCAGGATTATCTCAGAGTCAGGAAACACAGTATTCTTAGTCAAATGGGCAGATTCCTACATACCAGATTGCTAGGTGTTCCTCCGGAACCCTGGTGTTCTTCAAGCTGGGTGAAGATGCTCCACTACAAAAACAAAATGTTGGCGGTCTTTTCCTAATTAGAAAAAAGATTCAGTTAGTGGAAAGAATGGTCTGAATTTTAAGTTTTCCTCCTATAAATATGCCTTCAAGTTTTATTGTCCATTCTTGTCTTCCAGCTCATGTAAGAAATGACAAATAGAAATGGACAAGAAGCGATCAAAGATCCTAAAAGAGTAGCTATGTGACTTCTTACAAATTATATGCAGTTTTCCTTTTATGTTGAAAGGCAGAAATCTGCATTGATATAATACACTTGTTTTCTGTAAAATTATGCCGACTTTACAGATTTGAAGTAAATCAATAGCTCATGCTATTCCGCTTCTTGACTTCCAAAGAGCTTTACAACCTGATTCAATTTGAGAATCGCTGGTATAAAGCATACATCAAAGTCCTTATTAAGGTTTTCCGAGAAAATCACATTAAGAAAACACAAAGATCATAATGAAAATGCTACCATGGGAAAATGCATTTGCACTTGCAACTAGAAAATTGGATTTGGAGTACAAAGCAGGAAGGCACATAGATGTAGGCCAGAAGGTATTAAATTCTACAACATATGCTATGGAAGGGACGCAAATCAAAATGTACAAAGAAGAAAATGTATCCATAAGTATATGCTTGGATAAATAAGAATAAACCCAAAGAAAAACTGATCAAGGAATTTAAGATATTTGGAAATGCAATAAAGAAGCTGAAGGAGAGTCTAAGAAACAGAGCCTATGGAAATTCACTACGATCCAGAAAAATATCTTTTCTAGTAGCATTTAAAGACAGAAATGGAAAGGAAGTGATCAGAAAAAAAACAAACTGTAACATAGTTTATTTTAATTTACCAATTAAACATAAGCAATTTTATGAATTGCTTCAAAATAATCTTGCAAGGAGTGTGGGATGTGTGGGGGTTGGGGTTACAGATATTATGATGAAATAAAAGTGACCATAAATTCTGTTTGTTGTAGATGGGTATGAGGACATGGAGGTTAACTGTATTCTTTTTTTTTTTTTAGCTGAGCCATCCTGCCACCTGTTGGCAGCTCAGCAGCAGCTCAGCTTGGGCTGGGAATCGAACCCGCAACTCTGTTGCTCAGAGCTCGCACTCTTGAGTGAGCTCTTAACCAACCGAGGCACTCGGCCGTCCTGACTGTATTCTTCACTTTACTTTTACGTAAGTGTGAAGTTTTCCATAATAAAAAACTTTTAAGCCATTATGTTATCAGAGTGGTTTAAGAAATGAAATGTGAGATAATGGTGGAGGTGAGTGTATAATGAATTTTGACCTTAAGCAAGTTGCAATAAATGTATCAAAGAATACACAACACAGTTTGTATAATTTTAAGTTGGAATAAAGACCTTGAACAAGGACTTATTGAAAAAGAACAGATGTACAACAAAGGTATAAAAAAATCAGAGAATAGAGTTTATGAAGATGATTTAGACAACTCCATAAATACTTGTCCAATTACTCTTAAGTCAAAGTACCCAAAGCATTTTCACTGAATTTACTGCACTGCAAAAGGAAAGCTGGAAATGAAAACAAAACAAAAAACAAAAAACAGACATTACCTTTTGGATCTCTGGCACTGTATTGTGATCATGCAGATTGTTAATTAACTGAGAAGTACAGAGACTACAAATTGCCTCTTTGTTATACATCTGGCAAAATCAATGTAGCTTTAATACCCAAACCAACCTGTAACTTAGAATACAAAGTGTCTTGCTCCTGAAATGAACAAAGACTTCCATTAAGCTACAAAGGGCCAATGGCAGAGGCATACCAATATTACAATAGAGTCCAGGAAGAGGACACATTTTTCTGTTGCTACTCTCATGGACGTTGTATAAAAGTTAAAATGGGGTGGGAGGGTGTGAACTCAATGTAAACTGAGGACAATAACCATATCTACTATTTGTAAAATAAGTAATGTTGCATAATGCAAAACCTATGTGAAAAAAAGAGACCACATGACCAAGAACACAAAGAAATTTTCAAAAGGCTGGTAGATGATGAGAAACTAAGGGATAGCAGTGGTTCTCAACCTGTGGGTCGCGACCCCTTTGGGGGTTGAACGACCCTTTCACAGGGGTCGCCTAAGACCATCAGAAAACAAAAAGATACTTACATTACGATTCATAACAGTAGCAAAATTACAGTTATAGAGTAGCAATGAAAATAATTTTATGGTTGGGAGTCACCACAACATGAGGAACTGTATTAAGTGGTCACAGCATTAGGAAAGTTGAGAACCGCTGGGATAGACGAAGACCCAAGAAGAGACTGACAGAAGGATGCCATATTAGTATAGAAAGGTACTTTGTTTTTCTTTGATCAAGAAGGTAATAATGTGATTATTTTATCATTTTAATGAAAGTGAATTTAGAAATGGATCTATTTTAAAAATCCCAATACAACTCTGAATTTTTTGTTTTTAGTTTGTTTGCCCCAGATACGGCTCAAGCTGCCAGGTTCTTTTGGAAAAGGTTGCCCTGGCAGGCTTACCAAAGTGCACTTCATTTGGCATGGCACTATCTGTTAGACTCCACTACCTATTGTGATAGTATTAGTCTAGATAGGTAATGTTATGCTGCAATAACAACAATCCTAATTTTTCCCCCAGTGATAAAAAAAAACCAACAAAGTTTATTTCTAACACATGCTACATGTCTATTGTATAATATCATTGACTCTGCTCCACATTGTCCTCACTCTGGAATTGAACTAACCGAGGCACCACAATGGCCAAGTATGATGGCAAATACAGGGAATCACACACTGACTCTTAGGTGCTTTTGCCTGGAAGTAATATAAGACTTCAGTCCCCATGCCATTAGCTGGAACAAATCACAGAACATTGCCTAACTTTAAGGAGAAGTGTGGATAATACTTCCTCTTAAATCTCCAGAGGGAAAAGGAAGCCAGATTTTGGTGACCAGTTGTAATGTCTTGGTACATTAGTCTGGTATTATCAGACGCAACATGCAAAGCAAACAGTCCTTATGTACTAAGAATGTTACTACCTAAAATGTGGACATTTATGGTCCTTGAAGAGAGTCCAAGGCCCCTGGGAATGGGAAATCGTAGATCTTAGAAAGGTAAGGCTATGTGCCTATAATATGATAATTCTTTTCTTAATAATTTTTTCAATTCTTTGGATACTAAAATGTGCAGAGGGTGCCAAAAAACATGTATACACATTTTAAGAAAGGAAAAAACTGTATTAAAATTGCAACACTCAGTATACACTGATAACAAAAGATGAATACAAGTCATGTGTATACATTTTTTTGGCACCCCAGTATATGAAAATATAAAGGCCTAAGAATAGATAGGCAATCTTAAAGAAGTTGGAAGTATAACTGCTGAATATCAAGATAAGAATCTAGACCAGGATTTCTTATCGATACGTATTGACAAGCTGGCTTTAAACTTTATGAGGAAATGCAAAGGAACTATAATAGGTATAACAATTATGAAAATAAAGAAAAAGGGGAGGAATCACACTACCCACTTTTAAAAATCACCATAGGGCTACAGGAATCAGTATGATATTGGTGAATGGAGAGACACATAGATCAATGGGCCAGAATAGGGATCTCAAAAATATACTCACATAAACATGGGCAACTGATTTTTGACAAAGATGCAAAAATAATTAAATGCAGAAAGGATTGTCTTTTCAACTATAGTGTTCCAACCACTGGCCATCTAGATGCCACATTTTTTTTTTAATTCTACATGGATCATAGATCTAAATATAAGTCACAAAACTATATAACTTTTAAAAGAAAACAGAAAATCTTCGTGACCTGGAGTCAGGCATTATTCTTAGACATGCTTAAGTATTTTTAATAACAGAGCTTATTACTTTACAAGCTACTACTTCTCACTCCAGCAGCAGCTTTAAGACTATAACGTTCTCAAATCAAGACATCTGCAAGCCTACAAATTTTGCTCTTTTCCTGGTGTTCCTCCCAAATGCAACATATGATAACCCTGAAAATATCTGAAGACAGCTATCATTTCTTCAGACAAGAATCTCAAATTTCCTTATCTTAAGAATGCACCATTAGGACCGGCTGAGTGGCGTGTTGGTTAACAGTTGGCTTGGGATGCCATCTCTGAGCAGCAGGGCCCCAGTTCGGATCCCACATGAGGGCCAGTGACGCTGTGCCCTCTACAGCTAAGATGATGAACAACAGCTTGACCTGGAGCTGGGCTGCCGTGAGTCGTCAGCGATGGCGTAGGCTGCAGCCCCTGTGGCAGTGGATTGCCATGGGCTACCGTATGTAGCCAGCAGCCAGCGTGAGCGGCCAGCAGCTGCAGTGAGCGGCCGTCCAGAAGCTGGCAACTGATCTGCCTCGCCCGGGAAGAGCGCAATGATGGTGCCAACTTTGGCCAATGAAGCAACGTCCTCCACAACTAGACTGAAGAACAAAACGACAGCAACTTGTCTGTTCCCCTTCCCCCAATTCCCCAGCACTGTTCCCATGCCCCCAATTCCCCAATAAAAATCTTTTTTTAAAAAAAATGTAGTACTACCTGGAAATGAGGGCAATACTTCAAATTCATTCTGTCTAGAAGTGTCTATTTTGAAATCTGACTCCCTTTGATCTAAAATCTACACCTATGAATTCAACAAAGATGGCTATGTTTTTTTTAACTCTATATACCAATCTTGATTAACACTGAACTTGAGGTCAACTACAACTTTTAGATTTTTTTTTCACATGAATTGTTAATATTCCATTCTTCAATGCATATCCATGATGCTGATTTCCTTTAAATTTTTTTCTTCTTTTTAGCTAGCTGTAGACATCCAAATATTCCCAGATCCTTCTAAAATTTCCATTTTAGGGTGGTTCAAAGAGCATCATCCCAACCTGCTTAGAGCATTCTGAATCTGACATCCTACAGTTTGGCCATTTCTTCCCATTCCCACTTTAAGACTCCATTAATTCAATGAACATATCTTCTGTAACTTCATTAAAATCACTGATATAAATGTTGGCAAGGAGAGGGTAAAGGACAATGCTTTGTGGATATTCCTGGTACTTGGGTGCTTCCTAATTATCCAACCAGCAGTAAGTTCACCTCACTATACAATTATCTGGTCTACATTTCTAAATTTCATCTATAGGATTCCTGATCCATTAATTTAGGTAATCCTAATGAAAACAAAAATGAATCTTACCAAGAGTTAAGGAAGTTTACATGTACATTGATGACTATTAATTTCTTTTTACTTTTATTGTCTATATTAGGATGAAGAATATGTTCCAATTGTCAGTACCAAACAAGTAATGGCTACCTAGGGTGTTGTATTGAGAAGGATCTTAAGACTTGGCCGCTAGAGGAAAGAGTCCTGTGATTGATTAATGATGTCTGTCAGGGAATAAATACAGAAGAGTGTGGTAGCACATGTGTCACATAATTGCCATTGTGGCCTATATAGTCAGACTACAAATACCTTGTCATCGATTCCTACACCTGGTGGGGGGAATGTTGATGGGCCAGGAGAAGTGAAGAACCCGGGGTGTTTAAGTCAAAAGCAGGCTGTTTATGTCAAAGGCAGGCTGTAATGCCTCAAAACTCCTTACCACTTCTCTGGCTCTACATCATGTCTCCACACCTATCCCCATCTTCATAGAAGTTTCAGGTTTAAAGGAATATTGAATCTATTTCAGAATTTCAGCCAGGGAAAGGTGGGTTTCCGGCAGCCTCACTTGGAATTCTGAATGGATGTTCCTGTGGATCCTTACCAATGTGTGTTGATGAAGAAATCAGTGAATAGAAACATTGTTAAGCACGGTGGAAGTTAAGTTTCTTAATACAGAGCTAAGTAAGCTTCATTCCTGTGAACTGGTTAAATAGGTCTTGAATATTGGCCCAAGCATACTGATGATCCCGGTAATATAGCTTCTAAAGGAAAAACGACACTGGGACGTCAATCTAATTCACCGTTTTGGAACACAGTTCTACAAGGAGTGGAAACTTTGCCTCAAAGTGAAGCACATGCGCCACCCAATTTGTACAATTTGTACACAGTTTCAAGAGTATAAATCTTATCTCCCCATGTTAACTATTTGTGCCTTATGCTTATGTGCCCACAGAGCACAGCAGCTTTGATTGTTCATACAATGATTCCTAGGCGGGTGGTTCCCACAGCTATGCCCCTTCGGATCAGACCATTTCTACTACAATCCCAGTCTCCAACACTTCCGCTTTTTCCACTCACATTCATTCACTAAGTGCCTATTATTAGATGCCTAGCACAGGGAATAAAATAATAAAGCAACGCCTGTCTTCCCAGCTCTCACACAGCTTACAGTCCACATAAAAATATTAAGTCATCAAATACATACACCCAACCTGTTGCTCCTAAAGCTCAGGCGCCTCACACCTGGCTCATTTCTTCCCTGCAGGCTCCTCCCCCTCTTCCACGATGCATCCTTTTTCCTCACCTTCTCTCCTTCCTCCAGCAGTTTTTACCATACCACAAAGATGCCTTCTCTTCTTTCAAGAGCTAACCTCGCTAGTAAAATGTCCTCATTTGCCCCACCAAGCCCCTCCCTTCCCTCCCTTGGCTCCTCCCTCACAGGGCTCCGCCCTTTCAACGGCTCCTCCCACTGTCCCACCCATTTCGTACCGCCGCTTTCCAGGGCCGCACTACTCTCCCTTTTGCCTTCCCGTCTCAAAGGGCAGCTTCTTCTCAACTGAGCAGGGCCTCTCGCTCTGCCACCCGTGGGGTGGTGTGGGGCCTTGCTCCGGGGGCGGGAAAGCGGCCGCGGCTGCTCACACCCTCATGTGGGGCCAGTGGAGCCAGTGGGGTGGAAGGTCCTGAGGCAGTTTCTAGTCCTCACTGGTAGGCGAGGGCAACAGTTGCCCTGGGTTACGACGCGCTGGGGCGGGCCCTCGGAGGTTCGCAGCGGAAGTTACGTAGGGCCCGCCTCGCGCAACAAAACTGAGCGCGGGAGGAGTCGCTGGCTGACTGCGGTTGGCGCGTGAATACAAAGCAGGCTCTGCGTGGCCGCCCACCTTCTAGTGCGCTTGAGGAGCTTGTGGCCGGCGACGAGCGCCTGAGGCGGTGTGGCGAGGTACTGTGCAGCCTTAAGCGCCGTTCGGGGGAAGTAGACTAGGGGCTGTTTGCCCGCCGGACCCTGGAGTTAGAAAGCTACGGCCCTTTGGACCGGCTTCCCCTCAGACACTGGGCCTCTCGCGGAACAACTCTGTTGTTCTGGGGCCGCCTTGCGCATTGCAGGATGGTTAGCAGCATCCCTGGCCTCTACCCACAAGATGCCAACTAAAAATGTCCCTAACTTTGCCAGTTGTCCCCAAAACGCCCCTTCCCCATGAGAACGGCTGTGCTAAGGTGATGCAGGCCAAAAACTTTATAGTAGGATCCGTTGTTCTTGAACTTTCTGCGCCTGCTTAGGGGACTGGGCAGTACTGGTTTGAATCCACTGGTAGTATAACGAGCGTTTATTGAACTTGTGTAGCAGTACAACCCTGTGAAGTGGGCATTGGCGTCTTTTATACAAATGAAGAAATGTAGCCTCGCGTCCTTAAATCAACTGAGGGACTCTGAAAGCAGTGCAAGGCTACCCCCTCCTGCCCTCCCACTTTTGGTGCTGGTTACTTTTGAGCACCCCGAGGTGTGTAGCCAGGGGTGGGAACATCTGTCCCAAGTCAAGCATTAGGTGATAGAGCCTGGTCCCAACTCAGTTCTGATTCCAAAGCCCTTACGCTTTCTGGTTTCAGAAGTGTATTTCTGCTGTAGAAAAATATTAGCATATACCACTGATTAAAATTTTGGAAAGATATTTTACAGCTTTTGTGCAGTACAGTCTTAATTAGAAAGCCTTTAAAGTCCGTGGAAAGACTTTTACATAATGTGTATATATTACATTGTTCTAAGATGTTAGAACAAAGTACTCTTCTAGAATATGACTATTTTTTTCGATATAATTTCTTTACCTAGAACACGTTTGGATCCTTTGTTTTTTACAACCTGGAGGGAATGGTATGTCTGCGTACTTCTAAAAATAATTGTACACAAAACAATACCTCATCGCATTTTTTTGTGTTAACTTTAAAAATTTTAATCCTAGATTTAAACAGTAGCAAAGGATGTGGCATTGAGTATCATAAATGTTGGCATTTTAAAATGTTACATTATTCTTTTGAAAGTCTTGAAAGAAATCTAAATCAAATGCAATTCAATATGTATTAACATATATTTAAAACTACATGAATAAACTTAGAGATGGAAGATTTTCTTTTGCTTTTTCTCCTTAAATTCATAATTGTATTGTTTTCTCCACAAAATTTTATTCTAACATATATTTATTGTCAGATACTTTTATGGTACTCTGTCATTTTTCTGTGCAACAAATAGTATATATTGGGTTGTTGGAAAAGTCATGACGCATATTTACAACAGAGGGCACTAGTTCATTTTTGGAAGTACTCGAGTCATTCGCATCTGTGTTATTGCTAAGTTCTTTGACAGCTGACAGTTCTAGCTTCCTTCTAAAAAAAAAATTGAGTGATTTGGTTGCGTTTTGGAGATTTTACAAGTTGAAGATGGAAGACCAAACTGCATTTTTGCTATATTTTACTGTTTTACTTCCATAAAGGGAAGAACACACGTTAAGCTTGTGAAAAGTCACATAATGTTTATGGTGACAATGCTCTACAAGAACGTCAGAGCCAACGATGGTTCATAAAATTCCGTGCTGGTGATTTTGATCTCAATGACACTCGGTCAGGGAGGCCACTGAGGTTGAAAATGACAAAATAAAGGCATTGATCGAATCAAACCCACGTTACACGACACGAGATTGCAGAAACATTGAACATCCATCATTTAAGCGTTTACAACCATCTGAAGAAGCTGGGATACGTAAGCAAGCTTGATATTTGGGTTCCACATGAACTCAAATAAGTTCATTTGGGGCCGGCCAAGTGGCGCGTTGGTTAAGAGTTGGTTTGGGACGCCAGCTCTGAGCAGCACGGCTCCGGTTCATATCCCACATTAGGGCCAGTGACACTGCGCCCTCTACAGCTAAGATGGTGAACAACAACTCAACCTGGAGCTGGGCTGCCATGAGTCACCGCTGGCGGAGGCTGCAGTGGAGCTGCAGTGGGCTCCCCATATGTTACCGTGAGCAGCCGGCAGCCAGCGTGAGCTGCCAAGAGCCGCCATGAGCGGTCGGCCAGTGACCGGCAACCGATCTGCCTCACCCGGGAAGAGCGCAATGATAATACCAACATGGGCCAGTGAAGCGACGTCTCCACAACTAGACTGAAGAACAAAGGGACAGCAACTTGTCTGTTCCCCTTCCCCGATTCCCCAACGCTGTTCCCCTCCCCCAATTCCCCAATAAAATCTTAAAAACAAAAAGTTCATTTGACAGTGCATATAAACATCTGCAATATGCTCATTAAACGTGAGGAAAACGATCCTTTTTTGAAGTGACTGATAACTGGTGATGAGAAGTGGATTGTTTACAACAATGTGTTGCGCAAACAGTCTTGGTCCCAACGTGATGATTCACCTCAAACGACATGGAAAGCAGACATTCATCAGAGGAAGGTTATGCTCTCAGTGTGTTGGGATTTTAAAGGTGTCATGTTTTCGAGCTCCTACCAAGGAACCAAACAATCAATTCAAATGTGTACTGTCGGCAATTGGACAGTTTGAATGAATCCATCATCCAGAAACGTCCAGAGCTTGTTAATTGTAAAGGAGTTGTGTTCCATCGTGACAACGCAAGACCACACACAACTTTGATCACCTGTCAAAAATTATTGGAGCTTGGATGGGATGTGTTGCCACACCCACCATACTCCCCTGACCTTGCGCTGTCAGACTTCCACTGTTTCACTCTCTTCAAAACTTCTTGCGTAGCATAACATTCAATTCAGATGAGGCTGTAAATCAGCACCTTGTTCAGTTTTTTGCAAATAAAGACAGGTCCTTCTATGAATGAGGAATTATGAAGCTCACTGAAAGATGGCAAAAAGCTATCGAACAAAACGGGCAATATATCGATGATCTTTATTCTTTATATAAATAAATGACCTTTGAAAAAAAGACAAAATACATCATGAACTTTTCCAACAACCCAATAATTTGAAAATAAAATTAAAAAAAATTTTTAAGACCATAAGGCTAAAACACTTCTACTTTTATCCGGGTTGGGAATTACCTTTATTCCTAATCAGTTGGGAAAAGAAGAATATATTCCATGTATCTATGGGTAAATACTACATACTGTTAGAATGAGGCAGATTCAGCCCCAATTTTATTCCTTTTTTTTTTTAATAAATGTAAGCTGGGATATCTTGTTCACATGAAGATGCACATGAAAGTGATTTTGTTATAGCAGTGTTTCTTTCCATACTAGAAATCACATAGTGATCAACAAAAAAAATTGAATGATCTATCAGTTTGCTTAGGTACTCCTTCAGTTCTGTCAAAAATAGAAAGTTTGATACCATCTGACCAGCAGGATTTGTTACCCAGTTATTAAAGCTATTTTCTCAGTTTCTGGGAAGTATCTCCAAGTCTGAACTAAGATTTAACTAAATGACTATTAAACTTCTTGATTGAAAGTATCTTCTCATAAGAACATATAGTAGTTGAAAGATCTAGTAACTGATTTCCTTCACACTAATTGTGCCTGCATGTTTTAAATGGGCTAATCACTATTGAAGTCTAGCAGGTTAAAAGCCTGATAGCATGACTGAGTAGAAATATTAAGGGACAGGTAAGTTTGGCTAGTCATGTTTAGAAAAAGCCAGTATAGACTGAATCAAGATATCAGCAGTTCTGGTACAATAAGATAGATCTCAGAGCTGGCAAAAGGATGTTTCAAAAACAGACAGATGGGGTCAGGAGAGGAGATATATGGAAACTCCTTTGTGCTCAATTTTGAACCTAATCTTTAAAAAATAGTCTATTTAAAACAGAAAAAAAAAAAGACTGGTAGACGGTCAGTAGTAAAGCCACGTTGTAGGGAAGAAAAATAATTTGATCTTGATTTAAAGTGAGGGCCATCTGAAGAACGTAGATGTGTGATTAGGTCTGAAATGGTGATTGTTGAGCAGTAATGAGGGCAGTTAAAGTTAGCATTTTTTAAAACTGAAGGTGGGCATTACATTTTAGCAACCCCAGAAAAATTGGGAAGCTTCAGAAATTCTAATTTGCTAAGAGTTGATCTGAAATACCAGCCTCATTTTCATACTATCATGCCTATGCAGAGCCCTCTGGTGCTCTCTTCATCAAAACTTAATACTGTCAACTTCTTTAAACTACCAGGGAGATGATATAGACATTTTTTGAGGAGATATAAAAAATTCTTTTAACACTTCCAAGGTAACCTGTTCCATTTCTTGAGTTTTAATTATTAGAAAGCATTATTCAAAACTTTTATTAAGCTGCTCTATTCATTTGAAAGGAATATGAGGTCTGATGAATTGTTGATTTAGTCCATTTGGAGGGCCATTAAATGCCTATTATTTTGGCAGCACTGTAATAGAAATGAGGGTTGAATTGGCTCTACATTCTGAATAGTAAAAGAGCAAGTTGCCATAATGTTCTACTCTTTCAAAAAACCCAGAGGGGGTTAACAGCAAGTGGGTGTCTTTGGAAAAGAATGACAGAATAAAAAACTGCCCATCTCTTTCAAATTGCAATCACTGATGTACTTTCACTGTAGAACATTCATCTTTCCCTCTCCAAGATTCTCATTTAAGTATTTTTTTTATTAACATTTGCTAAGGAACTGACAAAGCATGGACCAGGAAATATGAGAATCGTAACCATGACTTCCCAGCTTTTAACAGTCTCTTAATACTCTTCATCATATTTCTTATCTGTGAAATGGTTATTGTTGTGAAGATCAAAAAAGGTAATATATGAGTGCCTTCAAAACAAGAGAGTAAATCTGTAATTATTACTCACCCTTTTCTATTTCCAAAGCAAATAGTCAAATTAATTAACCTGAATAATAATTACACAAATAGGGAAACAATCATTTAGGATACCTTGGATACTTTTTTGAAAAGGATACAAAAATACAGCTGAGCTGTGATATGGCCATTGGCCGTCTTGGAAAGAATTGTTTCTTTCTGCTGAGGAACAAGAAAGATTTACTGTATGTTATTTACCTACCTACCTCCTCTAGGTTCTCATATTTGCTGTTTGTTCACCGTCAGAAGGTGGTAGTGTCTGAATACTTTCCTTTTCCTGTAACTGGGAAAATGATAGAGGAGTTTGTCTGCTCTTGCTATGTGTGCGTACGTATTTATATGTGTGTGAATATAATATCCCCTCAAAATATCATCATACTACAGTTGGCTTAATTAAAATACCATTTTACACTCTAAATATGTTTAAACTAAAGCAGCATATTCACCAAGTCTGCATCTGAGCCCATAAAGTTTTACTTCTGTTCCCATTACTTAAGTGGAAAATGGAATGTGGTTTAACTTTCTTAAGGATGCCATCCATGTGCTATACTGATCAAACTTTCATCATCCCTTGTTTTTCCTCTTCTCTCTTCTAACTTAGCATGATGGAAAAACAATGTCAGTGGTCTTTTTCACGATATTAAAGATGATAAAAAAAGTATTTAGTACTATCAGGTAATTAGATTTTTGCTTAAGAAAAAGCAGATTTATAACTAAAAAAACATTTTCTTGGAACCTTTCATTGTTATAGCTTAAATTTCTTTTTAAAAAGCTTTCCATAAGTTAAAATTAGCACTTCACAAATATTAGCAGAGTCACTAAATGACATATTAACAGCAAAACAAAAAACGTGATTAATGAAGAAATTGAATGTTTTATTATTAAACTTTGTTCTCCTGCAAGGCTGTTGCTTCACTGTATAAAAATAGCACCAGCAAACGCAGTATATTGCAAAATTAAGACAGTATTGTTCATCATCTCACACTGTAACAACTAACAAAAAGTATTTTGACCCCAAATCCAGAGATGGGTATAAGCAAGTTATAGTATTATATAGGGATTAAGGTATAGTATTGTTGAATTATATAATTTTTATAACTAGATTTTACCACAAATAATTTCAGGAATTCTGAATATTGTAACTGTAGCCTAGCCTAAAAAAAATCATAGGGTGTTGTGAAGATGTATATTGTGTTTATTTGCAATCATTAGAAAGTTAAGGGGTATTTTCTTCCAGAAGCATTGTAGTTTTTTTTCCCCATTGGTGTTACTAAAGGTTGCTATTTTAAATCTTCTATCCACCACTAATTTAAGATAACTATGCTAGATTAAGTTGTTTCACATTGCTTTATTCAGGGGGTTCCAGTCTTACTCCTCAATAGATTTTATGTACTTCTCGTAGGCTTCTTCACTCATCAGCTCCTCTAGTTCTGAGGGGTTACTCAGTGCCATCTTGATCAGCCAACCTGCAACCAAACAAAGTGTCTTATATTCCAGATGGCCTTTTTCAAGAGTAAAAATCAAGCTCGTTCAAAATGTGACAAGTTCTTTAGTGCCTCAAAATTAATGCAGTATTCTTTACCTATGATGACTCGTTTGTTCAAGGAGTTTTACATTTAGCCTTAAGAATGAAATTAATATCTTTGCATATCATAATTGAAAAGATTACAGCTAGAATAGATTCCACCATAATGGATGAAGAACTTTTAGCTTGTAATAAGCATCAACATAGGACACTGAAGACTTGACAAAAGGATCCAAATATATAAGACCGGATATATCTTTCTTAACATGAGAGCACCAACACTGTAACTACTGATGTGAAGGTCATTAGAAAGCAGTAGTAGAGAGTTAGAAGGGCTAGGTGACAGGCAACAGAGAACTACAACCTAATCCCAATCTTGCCATTAATTGGATGTGTGACCTTAACAAATAAATAAATCCCCTTTGGGGCCTCAGTTTATCTACAAAATTGCTACTAGCCTACCTCACTGGGTTACTGTAAAGATGAAAATGTGAGAAAACTGAAAATTAATGAAATAAGTATTATTCTATTACCACCTACATCACACAATATAGATGCCTTATGTTTGAAGAGGTAAATACTTTAGTAGTGTTTACAATGTATCTACAACTATGATACTAAGAACCCTGTAAATAAGGTAGCACTTTTTATCAACAGAGATTTTAAACTAGATATTCAGCTAATCTGTGTTTTCCTTTTTTGAAGCAGAACATTTAGTAGCAAGAAGTGCAAAAGGATGAAGTCACAATCAGCTAACTCTGGCCTTAAACTCTAGATTAAATGTTAACTACAGCAATAATCCTTTGAAATATTTCTAACAGCTTACCATCTTCATAACAAGATTTGTTGACAAGTCCTGGGTTTTCTGCAAGGGCTTCATTAATTTCAGTTACTTCTCCTGATAGAGGAGAATAGAGTTCACTAGCAGCTTTCACACTTTCCAAAGCACCAAACTCATCTAAATTGAGAAAATGAAAGAAAATATTAAATGTCAAAAGTTAATGACCTGAAAATACAAAATGTGGGAAAATGGTCACCTCTAATAGTCATGATAAAAAATCCTAAATATCTTTAATTAAAAATAAAATCATAGGTTTTGTCATGCTTTTATCACCTATGAGAAGGGTATCAATATCCTCAATAAAGTGGACTTATTTGTGCCAGACAGAGTAAACAAATGGTGATGTCTCTGAATACCAGACGTGCTTGAATTCAGTGAAACTCAACCGTCTGTCAATTTACTGTGGCTCAGAAAAAACAAAATGAACATTTTAGTAGATTCCAGTACTGCTGAAGTACCTCAGACCAACCTTCCTACAGATGGCAATCATGAACCCTGAACAAAACACACACACACACACACACAGATACAATTGTATGAAAGCTCTGTAGATTGACTAGAACGGGGGGAGGGAGGTCAGTCCTTGAAAAAAGGGACCTAAACTGGGTGAAATCTTCAATTATACAATTTATACCCTGGTAAAACCACCCCATTCAAAGAGCAAAGTTAAACTAGAACACAAGGAGAAAACTAGTCTTATTTGAGGGGTCAGAAGATGGAATGTGGGGCTGCCAAGGTGGCTGGAAAATGGGGGTTGAAATTCTAGAAAGAAAGGAGCCACACTGAAGAAAAAACATAGTCAACAGAACATAGATCCCCAGATGACCCACAGTACCTTGATGGAATTACCAGAGAAACTTAAAGTAGCTTTTATAAATATATTGAAAGACTTCAGATGGGGGAATATTTGCAAAGAAATGGAAATTTTAAAATGGACATTTCTAGAACTGGGAAGTATAATATCTAAAATAAAAAAATCACTGGCATGAACAGCAGACTGGATACAGTACAAGGGTCAGTCAGTGAACATGAAAAAAGATCATCTAAAATTAACCAATCTGAAGAACAGTAAAAACAAACAAACAAACAAACTGAAAAGTGAGCCTTAATCACCTAAAGGACTATATCAAGTGATCTGAACTGATAACGAGAATACAACATACCAACATTTTTGGGATATAGCTAAAATAATACTCAGAAGCAAATTAACCTTTTAGCTTTGCTTTTATTAAAAAAAGAACATCTTAAAATCACTGACCTGGATTCTAAAGACACTGGAAAATGAACAAAACAGTCAGTTTAGGGAGAGGAGGCAACACTTGAAAGAAGGAATGATATTTTTTCTGCTTATTTTTTTTAATGGCTTTTAGCCTGAGGAGAGGCACAAATCTGTGCTGTGCGGGGCACCCAAAATTCTCAAAGAAAATCTCAGTCTTACTGGCTTAAACAACCAGGAGACAAGAGTTTGAGACCACTATAGCTACTGGGAAGTAAAGTGGGAAATCCCAAGAAAGAGAAACTAAAAGGAAAATCCCAAGTTCTGTGTATAAACTCTACCCAGGTCTCTGAGTGATCCCCAAACCATGCGTGTACAAGGCTGACTCCAAGTATCCTGTCTAGGCTAAAGGAATGAAACTAGATTTTAGCTGCCACCCACACGGGAAACAGTGTGAGTAAAAAATTCAAGTAAAAAAGTACTTAAAAAACCCAGCAAAACCAAGTTTCCACCTTAAGAAGCTGGATAAATAAGAAATTAAATTTAAGTGAATTAAAGAAAACAATAAAGATATGAGCAGAAATAATGAAATGGAAAATAGAGAAAATTAACAAAAAAATTGGTTGTTTCAAAAGATTAATGAAATTGATAAATAGCAAGTCTGAGCCAAAAAAAAAGACAGGAAACACAAATGACCACAAATAGGAAGGAATGAAAAAGGGATCCTCAATACACATCCTATAGATATAAAAGGATAATAAAAAGTGGATAATATAAATGGATAGTAAAAATTAGCATCTTTATGGTGAATTTGACATGAAATGGAAAAATTCTTCAAAACAAGAACAAAACCAATGTAAGATAACGTATGATATGAATAACCTTATCTCTATTAAAAAAGTTATATCTGTATCAAAAACCTTCTCATAATCTGGCTCAAATTTCACTGGTTAGTTCTATAAAACATTTAATGAAATAAAATTAATCTTGCACATTTTCAGAAAAAAGGAGGTAGGGACATTTCCAAATTTATCCTATGCGGCCAATATAACTTATTCCAAAATTTGACAAAGACATTATAGAAAAGAATATCTATCATGCACGTAATGCAAAAATTAACAAATCAAATCCAGCAATATGTTTTAAAAGATAATTTTTTGCATCATTACTACCAGGAATACAAGCTTGATTAAACATTCCAAAATAAATCAATCTTTTTCATCACATTAACAGAATAAAGAAGAAAACCCCTACAATCATGTCAACAGATGTAGACAATGAATTTAAGAAAATTCAACATCCATGAGTGATAGGTCTCTCAATAAACTACATATAGGTCGTAACTGCCTCATGTGATAATGGGCATCTATGAAAAACCCCAAAGCAATATATCTATTTATGCCTAGTGATGAAATGTTAAATGCTTTCTCCTATTCTCACCACTTCTATTCAACATACTGGGGGACCTGGCCAGCAATAAGGCAAGGAAAAGAAATAAAATGCATCAAGATTAAAGAAACAAAACTCTTTATTTACAGATTACATTATTGTTTACATTGACTACATTATTCATACAGTGGGACACTATTCAGCAATAAAAAAATAAAGAACTGATCAGTCAACATGAATGAGTTTCTAATTCATGACATTGGACAAAAGAAGCCAGAAATCATACATATTGTGACTCCTTTTAAATAAAGTTAAAGAATGGCTTCGTGCCCTTGGACAACTTGCTAAATTTCTCTGTATTTTATGGTTCAGGACAATAAGACAAAGTGAAAACACCTACCCCACAGGGTTGTTGTGGTACAGGAGATAACACTTGAATTGCACTAACGTGCTCCCAGGAACACAGACTATGCAATGGGGACAGAAATCAGAGAAGAGGTTCTCTACTGAGAAGGTTTTGCTTGGGAAGGTTTACACAGTATATGTTTGTCAAAATTAACTGGATTGTACTCTTAAGATCCATGCAATTTCACTGGATGTATCAATTTAAAAACACCTTTGGCAGAAAGTTTAAAGAATGCATTCATCAGTTCAGGGATATTACCCAACATATTTACATTAATAGAATTTTTTAAGCACAAAAAGGTTCATGCTGCTAACTGTAAAGTGATGTTCAGCAACTTATGATCTCCTGCTTGAGAGTAGCAGAGTGGGTACACAGTACATAAAACAATGTGAAAAAGAAAACAAGAAGACCTGTGCTTTGATGTACAGAAAATATAAAAATGGACAAAGGTTATCAATCACAAGAGTTTTATTATGACATCAGAAAACGGTTTCTTCAAAGGAGGATGTGACCTACGAGTATATAATATAATGGTCAACCAGGCCATTGAGAGCCAGGAAGCGGGAAAAGTTCAAACAAGATAAATGATGGGGAAAGTTTAAACAAAAAAAGACACGGCCAGTACTGTCAAAGATACTTAGAAAATAATTAAATTCTGTAGGGCTGTCTTACATATGTCAAGAAACCCATGAATAATATGTGTGGTACTACTAGTTAACATTTATCAAGCACTAATCTTATGCCAGACATTATGCTATATTTAATTTAATCCTTACAACTCTATGAAATAGATACTACTATTATCCAAACATAAGATCTACAGTAAGCATTTTCCCCAAAATCACACAGCTGATATATTGTGAGGCCAGGATTTAAAACCAGGTTCAGACCCCTCTAAGCTCCTTTTCTGTCCTGATATTCTTTAAGGCCTCCAAAGAAAAGCAGATTTTAGTTTTTAAACTTAATAGACCTCAGCTATATTACACTATATCAATGTAAGTGTGTGGAGTGGGGACAGAGGGTGCTCAGAGCCTTTTTCCTCTACTTCTTCCTACCTTCCATTATAATGTCGAAATATGCTCGTTATTCTCCTCACCATCATCCCTTAACAGCTAGGGGTGGCAATATAACCCAGATCTGGCTAGTGAGATAAAAGAGAAAAAAGAGAGCCTGTCCTTCTCTTCCTGCTTTTGAATATTGTCAATTGAGAATGTGCTGTTTTCAGATTTTGCTGCCATTTTGTGACCTCAAAAAACTACCAAAAGGTCATATCTTTGATGACCTTCACTGACCCATTCAACCAATCCCATTATTCACCTATGTCCAGAATGCTGTATAAGATATAAATTGCTATTGTTTAATCTACTTTTGAGTTTTCTCTTACTGGAGTAAAAAGCACTCTAATTGATCTAGGGTGCAAACAAATTATTCAAGGTAAAGAAAATTCATGGCATGAAAATCATGACACATACCAAGATGAGAAAAACACTCACCTTGTTTGTTCAATTTTGTCCCAACTTCAGGCAAACTACAGTAAACAACATCTCCCAAAGCTTCCTAAAAACAAAAACAAAAAACCAAAAAACACAAACCTCTAAGAAATCAAATCAAACCTCCTAATAAATAGGAACAAGCCAAACACCAAACCCCCTATAATTCAGATAGTAGCACATATTTTACACTTGACGGGCCACATTTTTTGTTTTTTCTTACTCTTTAAAACGCCAAACTATTCTTAGATTAAGACCCGCAAGAAAACTGGCCACCAGTTGGATTTCTCATAAACAGTAGTGACCAATGTTACAAACCATATATCCCCTAAAAGATTACTGTCCCCTTTGAGACCAAACACATTGCTTTTTCACTTCTGCAGTTTTACTTAATTAGTCCATTTCTCCTACCGCATTTGCTGAAATCCTACCCATTGATTCTACAAATCATAGTCCTCATGCCTTGTACTCCCTGAAGACCTTGACTCCAGTAAGAAGTGATCTCTCCATCAGGTGAATGGGTTAACATCCCTTGTACCTCCCGGGTTATCCATCATGTAATGTTTTGTATGTCATTTTCCATGTAGGTGATTACCCTCATCGATAAACTCTAGGAGGTGAGGGGAACAACACTTAATCTTTCACAAAGCACCCTGTACTGGGCTTCAGTAGGTACACAGATATGCCAATGAGGATACAGTTGTGATTGACTTTCAATACCTGATATTAAAACATTTCTGAAGAATATTATATACTTCCATTAGTTACATTCCCTATCCCCCTTCTGCCCCACCCTCCACATAGATCAAGTTGAAAATCACTGGCCTGTGCTATTTAGCTTCTTTTTTCTTTTACACAATATCTCAAATAATGAGTCAGTGGGAACAGGGGAATTGAGAGGAAAAGATAGACTAAATAAAAGTTTTCCCTCTGTGTAATCTGTGCCAATCTAGGTTTTCCCTCCTCTCCATGTCCCCCTGGTTATGTGTATAGCACTGTATCCACAAAACTCTCAACACTCGGCCCTTTTGCTTACTCTTTTTCTGCTGCTTAACTGCCCCAATATGAAACAAACATTTCTTTCTTGAATAAGATTTTGCTACTTTTTATTTTAAATGTTAACCTTTCAATGTCTCTTAAAATACTACCCTAACTAAATTGTTTTACTTGTTTAACTTATGGATTGATGTTTTCTAAGGGCCTTCAAAGGACCCAAAATACTAAGGGCAGAATAAACAAATTTTAAAAAGTAGAGACAATCCAATTTAGGTGAGAGTAGACTCTTTTAACTATTTCGAGACAATCCAATACCTGTGCAAAATTGCTGATTCCCACTGTTCCAATACCATTTTCTGTAGTTATCCATTCATGTTTCTCTGTGAATTTACGCACTAAAATAGAAGACCAATATTTCAGAAAAGCAGTACCATCACTTTTTTAAAAGCACTTTTCGTATCAATGCTGTCAAAAGGCAAAAGTTTCCCAATATTTGTGTTTGACTTACTGACATTGCTTTTCAATGGTATACTGCCCAGGATAAACACAGATCATGTGAAAAGATGGCACGTCTTCTCAACAGCAGTATGTATTACTTAGACAAAGATGGCTTGATGTGAACACCTTGTCCATCTTTTGGAGATTTGATTATTTTCTCTAACATTACTTAGTCTAAATCATACACACAAAATTTTGGAGGATATTTCAAATGTATACTTATCTACTAGTCTGCTTGCAAAAAAGTCTGTCCCTTTGAAGACAGACTTGGAGTGATCAGGGTTTGGGAGGAGCACAGAGACTGCTCATAAATGATTTAACTTAAAAAATAATGATGGGCCTCTTTAGGTAGAGTTGACCTAATAGGGCTTCACTGCAACTTGGTTATAAAGTGAAATCTTACATGAAATTAACCTGGAACAATAACTTCAGTAAGTTCTTACAATTCTACTTGAATGGAATTCAAGCCAGCCCTGGAAGAAATACGCTACCATCATTTAAAGAAGCAAACTATAAGATCAGAACTAAACAGTCACTTTAGCTAAGCCATTAAGTGGTGGATAGTCAAACGTTGCTGAACATTCATTGGGCAGATTAGCCCTTGGCTTTATGAGCTTCTTCTCTTCAAAGACATGGTCAAACTATTCAAGGATTCCTGCAAGAAAGACCGACCAAAGTTCAAGAGATGTGAAAAAAATCTAAGATTTAATGTTAAAAATACTTACTTTAAGAAATAAGTAAATTTTTAAAAAGCATTTGCTATCTTCTTAAATATATATTACATTCCAAAGTGAAGTATTTTTCCAAAAATAATGCATCAGAAATTAATAGGAAAATGGTTCAGTAATTCCAATACTGTTTTAAAGTAAGCCTTGCTGGTTCACTCTTCCCCCTTACCCAAAAGATAGTTGTACTTAAAACAGCATTCAACTGCTTTGTTACACAGATCTGATACGCAACAGAATGTAAATAGAGTATAACTTACTACTTTCTGTTTCCCTAATCATTAAAAAAACTAATTTCTTACTCTTCAGTGGAAGAAGTTGCAGTCTGTCACAAAGGAATATGCTTCATTCCACTTCAAAGCTGAATGCTTCAAGTCAATCTGATCTTTTCATAAAAAAAGGCTAGGGTTCATACTTGGTGTTCTGACTGCAGCACTCTAACACTGTTTAACTTTTCTTAACTATTTCCTATCTCACCTTAGAAGCTCCTTCCTGACAGAAGCATGGTCTAGCCCTCCTACTTGGGTCTCCTGGGCCATCCAGCCTCCTCCCAGCCCGACCCCCAAACACACTCACAGTACTTAACATGCTACAGATAGAGCTCATGTCAGTTTTCCCCAGGAAGTAGACCATAAGTACAAAGTAAGCAAAAGCAGAGTTTATCATATTTGTATTCCCAGCTCTAAACAATGCTTGGCATAGAGTAAGCACTTAAAAGTTGAAGTAATTTTTTAAAATTTAAAGGGATTCTGAGCAAAATAACTGGTATACATAGTTATTTGCCTACCACACTCAATTCTCCCTATCATGCTCTTAAAAATCTAGAACTGGCAGTTTTAATCTAATATACCTTTTAATGTAAGGGCTGGAGAACTATAAATATGACTTCTCTGAGGCTGTTGTGCTGATTTGGGCCTTGCCATCTTCCTAATTGTAAAGATAATCTTAGGAGTAGATTGCTCTCACATTGAATTTAGTAAATGAGCAACCACAAGTTTAGAGTAAGGTAAACATACGGAGGTCCAGTTGACTTCAAAGACCTTTAAGTCTTTTTAGTAGGCCATGCTCCTTAGGCTAAAGACAATAAGTAGTATAATTCTCCCGTAACCCTTGGCCCGACAGGAAAAAAGTGCACAAGAGATCAGGTAAATAATTACTTTCTTACTGAGCCTTGAAAAAGCAGCTTTTGGCTTCAGAAAATTAGACATTTTGAGTAATTTATGAAAAGTTTGCATTTTTCTTGCAAAATCATTTGTCAGATAAAAACGGTCAATCGTTTATTCTATAAGTAATATTTGATAACAAGTAACATTTGTCAAATACTTTGTGTCAGGCTATATGTAACAGTTACATTATATCATTTCATCCTCCCAACAACTCTGTGAGGTATGATTATTTCCATTTTTTTCTGATGCGGGGAAATAAACTAAGTTAAGTGACTCTGCCCAAGATCACATCGTTCATAAAAGGTGTAACTAAAATTGGAACTCAGGTTTGTTTTTAAAAAACCAGGTGTTGATCCAGATCTTGGGTATTGATATTTAAGGCAATATTTAACTAGGTAACTGGAAAATGAAAAAGCTAATGACTAGTGAGTGAAACACTGAATAATCAAAAAACAGATTTGAAACTCAATCTCATCTGAGAAATGTTTTTCCTTTATGTTCAAATTGGTAATGTATTGATATGTGGCACCAACAGAGCTGAGGGGTTATATAACAACGGGGTGGGAGAATGAGCATCATTGTTTCAGACTTTGGAATAAATCAATTTATCATCTCTGACAGTCCCAAACAGGTTTCTAAAACAATAAACGATGAGACCACAGCCATCACAGACCTGTGCTCCCTAAGAAGCCCCGAGTTCTTAGTGGTACACTTCTCAAGTATTTGCCCACGATGTAAGAAAGCGGTTTTTCCGCTGCAATAACTGTGCTAAAGTATAAAGTAGCACAGATGGCCAAGACCCCCGGTAACTTCAAGTCCGTGTAAGTTGGGCCTTATTGCAACCCCAACACACATCCATGGCTCAACATAGACTTGAGCAGAATGACTTCTGGAAAGAGTCCAGACGACTGTCTTACAGTTTTTAGGAAATAACGGGGTCTTCAAAGTTTTGCTCGCTTTAGCCAGTAAAAGCCTAGATCCAGTGCTTTAATTTCAATAAGTGCTCTTGCTTTAATTTTACTTCAGAGTTATCAATGATGGTCCGTGGAGCAAACTAAAGCCTATTATTTGTCTCCACTTTTAGGGTCCACGATGCCCACAAATGCGAGCTAACGTAAGGTCATGAAGGAGCTTAGCGACGCTTGCCGAGTTCTCCAGCAGCGAGCGGAGGATTATCCCGCCAGAACGAGCCAGGACTCGGGGACAGCGCGTTTGCTCCAGGCCTCCTCCCCCACCCCCTCCAGCTCCCTAACCTGCTGGACAAAGGCTGCGGTGGCGCCCACGCCACTTCGGGAGGGAAGCAGCAGCCAAGCAACTAGAGATCCCAGAAATAACAAGCGTGCGCAGAAGTCGCCTCGCTTGACCCGGAGCGAGCCGCAGCGAGGACTGAAGGTAAGGATCAAGGCAAGGAGGGAGGTGTCCCAGCTCCCCACACGCCGAGGCAGCTCGGCTCGCCCCACGTGCCCGCTCGCGCTTACCCGAGAGCAGATTGAGGCCGGTGCGCAGCGTCCGGACGGCGCCCACCCTCAGGCCCCAGGGCCGCGGCGGGCAGGGTGCAACGGGCGCCGAGGCGGTGCGCAGGCTGCAGGCCACCGCCCGCACGCTCCGCGCCGCTCGCAGCGCCATGTTCGCTGGAGTGCAGAGGGTCGCGGTGCACCTCCTCCGCCACCGAGCAGATGAGGGCGAGGCGGGGCCAGGGCGGCCCTGGACTGGAGCAAGCCGGCTGCGCCCGGGCGCTGGGGCGGGGCCCCATGCGGGGCGGGGCCTGATACGGCAGCATGCAAGGGGGGGCGCTACTGGGATTGGGCGATGCGCAGGAGGGGCGTGGGCAACGGAATGGCTTGGAGCCGGGAAAGGGCAGCAGTAGGTCGAGGGGCGGGGACTAGTTCAGAGAGGGGCGGGCAGGGTTGGCTGCGCAACTGATAGGATGGGCGGTGCTTCTCTGGGAGAGGTGGGGCTACGCCTCTGAGCTTGGCTTCTGTCTAGTGAAAGAGTTATGTCACCAACTTCACTCTACGCGTCCCGCTCGGGTTGTGAGAAGGGCTGCAGCCTGGGATGGCTCTGCTGGACCAGTACATTACTGTGCCTTTGGGCCAGGGGGTCCCGGGTAATACAGGGTGCTCCCAGTCCTGTTAAAGGATGCGGTCCTACCCTCCTACTGAGGATCAAGGTCATCCAGAGCGGGAAATCATAGCCAGGTCCAAGCAAAATCATTCCAGCTGAAGATGGTTGTTAGGCATTGGCCAAAGGTGCGCTGACACAAATGCAGTTTCTCTTTGACTTTTTGAAAACAATCCAGGAATCCATTTTATTACCTTATAGATCCCAAAAGGCTCAGGGTCCCCAAACAGGGGACAGAGAATCATAAAACTCATAGGAGGCAAGGACTTGCCCAAGGATCAGGGTTGGCTTCTTGGTGGAGACTGGACTGGAGCCAGTCAATTAATGCAGGAGCAATAAAAAAGCAGAGAGTTGAGACCTAACAAGGCTCTTTCTTGCTTACGCAACCAGCCCCGAGACCAAGGTCTTCTGGGAAAAGCAGAAGACATGTCTCCATCCAAGGAGATAGAAAATAATTAAGTTCTGGAACTCACCTTCAACACAGATTTTATGGAGTGGGCATGAATTAGCAAAGAAACACTGGCGTGAAAAGCATTTCAAGACCCACACCTCAAATATTACAGGGTGGGTTCCTTGTGTGTGTGTGTGTGTGTGTGTGTGTGTGTGTGTGTGTGTGTGTGTGTGTGTGCGTGCGCGCGCGCGCACGCGCGCGCGCACAATTGGAAGGCTCATATGTTGTTGCTCTGAGTTTCTGCCTGTTGACTGGTGAAAAATAACTCTCCAAGTAATCCACAAAAGAAAAGGTTTATTCGGGAAAAGAAAAAGAAGCAAGACCACCACCACAGTGTGAGAAAGCACACCTCTAACCCAGGCTTCAACCGGCAGCTCACGTGGAGGCAAAAAGACCCCCGGTTTGAAGATGGGTAATCCCTTTATTATGATCCCTCCCCCAGAAATTACCATAAGGATAAACAGGAAGTCAGGATTATAGAGTTAACAAGGAGCCAGCTCCACCCATAGTCCTCCCAACTCTATAGTTAAGCATCTTAAGATGCCAGTTCACTTTATCAATTTCCCCTTCTTGATCAATGATCTTTCTTCTGAAAGATCATTGATCAACAGTCAATGTCCCAAGTTTTTTCCCAAGTTTAGTCCCAAGTTTTTTCCAGTGTCCATTCTTTTGTCCCTCGATGTCTGTTCAGCCTCTAGTCCCTTGGTGTCAGAAGGGCCTCTTCTAGGTGTCATCTCTCACATCATGGGGAAGAGTGCACCGATCGGGAAACGGCTGGCATCCAGTGTGGCTGGCATCCAGTGTGGCTGGCATCCAGTGTCGACCGGCATCAGAAGCAGAGCTTAAACAGATCAAAGTTAAAATAGAACATAGCAACCTAACTTATGTGGCAGGTGATAAACCAGGAACTCAAGCTCCATAGGGGTCACCTGCTTTAAATTTTTGACAGCTTTAGTTTCAGGTTACCAGACTGTGTGCTTTCCCAATCAGGGCTTGGTACCTTCTTCAGGTGTGACACGTGTATCCAAGCCTACTCCCTGTAGTTTAGCAGCACAGGTGTGTGTCAACAGTACCTGGTAAGGGCCCATCCAGCGCGGCTGGAGGGAATCCTTTTTTAGGTGTCTTTTCCAATAAACAAAATCTCCAGGTTTTAATGTATGAATTTTTTGTTTTTCATTTTCCTGGAGTGTATGATTAAACAATTGTTTGACTAAAGCATGATTATTGTCGATAGAATTAATTAATCCTTTACAATACTGAAGTATGTCTGCTTTTACCAACTGTGGATCAAGAGAGGCAGGAGCCAAATGCATAGGGCGTCCTGTAATTATCTCAAAAGGTGAGAGCTTATGATTCCCAAAACAAGTAGATCCGAAATTTAAAAGGACTAATGGCAATGCCTTTGGCCAAGGTATTTGAAGAGTTTCTGTAAATTTTGCCAATTGGGTCTTGTTAATACAGTGAAAATGTTGTAGGATTGGCCAAACAGCACAGACTTGCTTTAGCATCTGACCAGTAAAATGGGTTCCTCGATCGCAGTGAAGTTCAAGAGGAGTTCCCCAAGTAGGAATAATCATCTCTAACAGCACTTTAGCCACTGCTGGTGCATTAGCCTGTCTGCAAGGGAAAGCTTCAGTCCAGTGAGAAAACATACATATCATGACTAAAACATACTTGTATCCATGAGATGGGGGAAGCTGTATGAAGTCTAGTTGCCAGATCTCAAATGGAGGTAAGGAAACCACGTTGTTTCCATAGCATTTCAAAGTCATGGGCCACTCCGAAGGCATATCTGCTGTCAGTATAAATGCTGACAGCTTTACCCTTTGCTAAAATGCAAGCTCGGGTGAGGGCATGCAGTTCAGCCTGCTGTGCTGAGGTGGCCAGAGGTAAAGGTGCTGCCTCGATGACTTCAGAGGGAGTTACAACAGCATAACCAGCATAGTGCTCACCATTTTATCTCAGTATGAACCATTGGTAAACCATGAGAAATCAGCTTTACCCAGAGGAGTCTTCTGTAAATTTGTCACAAGGAGTTAGAAGGTGATCTGCTAATGTCAGACAGTCATGAGGGGCTTCCTCAGGAGGAAGAAAATCCAGCATACTACTTTGCTAAGAAGTCTCTGTCTAATAAATGGGTAGGGGCATAAGAACTAAGGAGAAAAACAACATTAATATTCATCTCTTAAGGGACCTAGACAAAAGGGAATAGGTTCATATATGTAAGCCTGTTTTTTCCCAAGATGATTAAGGGGAAGGACTGAAAAAACCCTGTAATTCCTCGGAGCCCCCTCACTGGGAATTTGGAAGGCCTGAAAGAGCTAGTTAGTAGACAGAGAGCATCTTGTGCGCTTCACCTTACGGCAGCCTCTTTTCCAATGTCCTTGCTCCTTGTGGTAGTGGTAAAAAGTTGGAGTTCTTTGACTTTGCATAGGGCCTCTCGTTTGCCAGGGCTGAAAATCAGATGTCTTGGCGACCTTGCTTTTAAGCGGCTCAACTAGGGTCCTAGCAAGTTCATTAGCTAAATTTACCAATTCTAGGGTAGGCATAGTTCCCCATTCCATCCTGGATCTCCTAACCAGGACAGAAAGATTCTTATTTAGCCCATTGACAAACAAGGAATTAAAAACTATCCATGTGTGGCCAGCATCTGAAGGAAGACCAGAATTTTCCTTAAAAATGACCTGGAACCTTTTATAATAGTCACAAACAGATTTGCCAGGCCTTTGTGAGCAAGTGTGAATTTTGTTCCAATCAACATCCTTTGGAAAAGCCTCAGGAATGGCTCGACGCAGCTTTTGAGCAAGTTCCCTGGCTTCCTCCCAATAATTGGAGGTTTGCTTTTCTAATTCCCTTTCAGGATGTTTTAGTTCACTTTATCATGCCTCACTTATAAAACTGGGATTGTTGGCACATCTGTGCAGTGCCTTGCAAGGGCTGTCATGCTCCATTTTCATGTGAGTAAATAATAACCATTTCTTGAGCTCTTGCTATGGGTCTGGGACTATGCAAACATTATCTTTTTAATCCTCTCCAAACCCCTTTCTGGTAGGTAAACTCATCTCATACATGAGGAACTGGAGGCTCAGGTAGTTTAACTTGTCCAGTAGTGGAATGGGGCATGGCAGGCACTAAAGAATTATGTAGAACAGGGCAGGATAGATAAGGGTACTGGGTGACCTGCCCTGGAGGAGGGGAAATTGCCTTTCATGCTTGCTGGGACCAGGACAATGGCCTGTTCCGGGAATCAACTCGAGGGTTTGCTCAGACAGTCTCCTGAAGCGATCTCTGTTGTGGACTGGATCTAGCTAGCTGGTCTTGACAGGGGTCACATCATGGAACTGTGTCTCTTCCTCATGTAACAATATGATTGAAGGAGTTGCCAGTTTGATATTTACAGTGAATAGAGAAGTGGAGTTTAGGTCAGAGGCATGGCGGTGGCAAATTCAAGCCCTGTCAACCCCGTGGTGTTCTTTGATGTCAGCATCGGCGGCCAGGAAGTTGGTCGCATGAAGATCGAGCTCTTTGCAGACGTTGTGCCTAAGACGGCCGAGAAGTGGAGTTTAGATGGGAACGATGATAAAAAGAGAAATGAAGAATTTACAACATCTCCAGATCTTAGAGCTTTCCCTGTATAAACAAACAGACTGTTTTGTATGCATCTGGGTAGGTCTCTGTACCAGTCTTTTGGGAGACATGTGTACACCTTGCTATGGGTTATTTTATGAGCATCTCTGCATATACAGTTCATGTTCATACCTGACACAATAAGGAATGGTTATGGGTTTGGGGTGGATAGACGATGATGAAATCCCCAAGGTTTTATGTATATTGCATGTTATATACCTCTCTTTATAAAGGATCTTGGGTTTTGATTGTCGGGGTGGTAGGATGGGATACTAATTCAACTGTCATAAAAAGACATTTAAGCTCTCATCCAGATAAAGGGCTGGCCGTAGTTCAGCTTCAGGGTTAAGTCAACTGTTTAATGACTTCATCAAGCATGCATGTTCCTCTCATCTTTCTGCTCCGCAACTTCAGATTGTTCCCTGTGGTAGCTGTCAAAGTTCCAGGACTCTTATTCGGACAATGTCCAGCAACATATGAGCCCATCTCTGTTTTTAAATAAATTTTATTGGGGAACAGTGTGTTTTTCCAGGACCCATCACCTCCAAGTCAAGTAGTTGTCTTCAATCTAGTTGTGGAGGCCGCAGCTCCTTGACCCATGTGGGACTCGAACCTGCAGCTTTGGTGTTATGAGCCTGTGCTCTGACCACCTGAGCTAACTGGCCGCCCCTCTTTGTGTCTCTTTTTTATTAGCAAGCAGAGCTTTCCTGGAAGTGTCGTAGAGACCTCTTCTCATTTTTCACTGGCCAGACTGGGTAATGTGCACACTAAACTGCTCACTGTCGAGGAAAATAGATTACCTTTACTAAGGCAAACCGGGTTTACCTTGAGGTGTTTATAGGGTCACCTTCCCAGGAGTCTTGTTGGGGAAGGGTAGGTGGCTACCTAAAAAAGTTGTGATTCTGAAAGCAAGGAGGAAAGTATGAGATGGGTGTAGAGCAGGCAACCTGGAGTACCTGCTGCAATAGGTGTGTGAGGAGGAGGGCAAGACCAGTGAGCGGGAGAGGATAGATGAGGTGCCTCCTGTGCACGAGGGAAGGGTAATATGTGCTTATCTGCACAGACACCTGGGAGACTTTTATTATCTAGATCTGTGGTTCCAGAGCACTGGAATCACCTGGGGGGCTTACAATGTATTGACACGGAGGTCCCAACCCAGAGATTCTGATATTTTGGGATGAAGTCTAGGGATTCTAGCTAGCATGCAGTCAAGGTTGAGAACTTCTGGGGTAGAGCAACAATTCCCAATGTGTCATCTAAGGAAGACTAGCCCTGATTGAGGTGCTGCAGTGCTGGATGCCTTGGTCAAAGAGGTTTGGAATCATTACACACTTTGTCGCTTGTGCTCATCTCACCCCAGGAGACTCACAGTGCGCATTTAGCATAGTGAAAGCTCTGACAATCCCCGTTCTAGGGAACTTATGTAACCTTTTATTATCCAGTGTTGCCCACATTTATTTGATCTAGAAACATTTGGGTGGTGATGACAGCTGTTGTGGGTTGAATTGTGTCTCCTAAAGGGATACATTGAAGTCCTAAACCCCCAGTACCTCAGAATGTGACCAAGTTTGGAAACAGAAATTGTTACAGATGTAATTAATTAAGATGAGGTCATAATGGAGTAGGGTGGGCCCTTAATCCAATATGGCTACTATCCTTATAAGGAGAGAAAAAGAGACACAAAGTCATACTGGGGAGAAGGGCACATGACAGCAAAGGCAGAGATTAGAGTGATGCGTCTGCAAGCCAAGGAATGCCTAGGATTGCTGGCAGATGCTAGAAGCTAGAAGAGAGGATTCCTCTATAGGGCCTTCCCAGGGAGTATAGCCCTGTTGACACCTTCATTTTGGATGTCTATGCTCCAAAACTGTGAGACAATAAGTTTCTGTTATTTTAAGCTACCCAGGTTGTGTACTTTGTACCAGCTACCCTAGCAAACTAATATGACGCCCATTAGCAGCTCTCAGACATTTTGAGAAACCCTGAGTTAAAATCATTCAAACGCAACCCCTGACTAACCAGGAAGATGAAATAATTAGTATATGCATATGTACTAGTGCCACTACTGTGATATACTATTCAAATGTATTTCCCCCTAAAAATAAAACAAATATTGTCTGGAGTTCGAGAAAAAAAATCTTCTCTACAGACTAATATGGTGCCCATATTTGGAAATGGCAGCAGTGGGGAATAGGGGTGCTGCCCTTTCCCTATCTGGGAGCTCTTGAGAGCACTGCCCATACTGAATCCCCAGGGAGAAAAGGGTCTTTCTGGCTCAAGACTCTGCCTAGCTCTGAGGACCAGTTTTCCCTCTGCGGGTGCCTAGTGGGGGAGGTGACCAGTAGGACACAGGACCCCCAGAAATGACTGGCTCTTCCTGACAGGTCCTGGATGACAGCCCAGTACTTGGCTCCTTCCTAATTGGGTCCTGCATTGTTTTCATGACATTTGTGGTGCTGAATCTATTTATCTCTGTCGTCCTGGTGGCCTTCAATGAAGAGCAAAAATACTATCAGGTGAATCCCTTTGGCCTGTTCTTCAACAGTCATTGACCTTGAACTAGGAAGAGGCTGGCTGAGCAGCATTAGACATTACGGGAACTTGAGAGACCATTGTAGCTCAAAGCTCTCATTTCATGGGAGGGGAAACTGAGGCCCAGGAGGAGAAAATTACTTCACCAAGATCACAAGGAAATGAAGGGCAGCTAGAATTGGGTTTCCTGATTCCCAGTGCAGGGCTCTGTTCATTACCCCAGTGGTTCTCAGTTCTGACTGTACATTAGAATCACCTGGGGATTATGGGCAGTTGCTACTACTGCACCTGAAACCAATAAAAACAGAATCCCTGGGTCAACGATGCAAACATGGGTATTTTTGAAATCTCCTCGTGTTGGAGGGAAGCCCAGTACCCCTTTGGCTCTGAGTCTATAACTTTAGTCCCAGAGGACACTGCAATGTCCCTGTAGCCCATACACTGCACACAGAGGATTGAATAAATTCACATGAATTAAGGGGTACTTTCAACAAAGCCAGACTCCAACTTTTCAGCATATTGTCTCCATCACTGCATCAGTGCACCTCACCCCATTTCTGAGGGTGAGAGAGGAAGATGGAGTGGGGTCAGGGATGGAGTAGGGTCAGGGTTGAGGTATAGGGACAGGGAAAGGATCAGGAATGGGGAGACGGGTTAGATAGAGATGGAGTGGGGACTAGGATAAGATGGACTACTGGATGGTATTGAGATCAGGGAGATGGTGGAAGGTGAGAGAGTGGGTGGGGCCAGAGTGAGAACTGGTAAAGGGGTTGGGGTGGGGAGTGGTCAGGATTGGGTGAAGGGTCTCAGAGGAGTGAGAATCATGAACTTGGAGAGGATGGGGGAGTATATTTAGATGACGATCAGGATGTGGCCAAGAATCTTTGTTTCTCACATTACTTGATAATAAAGTTGATAGTTCAATTTTTTTTTTTCAGTCACAGAAGAGATATGGTTGTCAAAATGCTCTCAGTATTAAGGGGCTGAATGAAGTGGTTTGGGCCCTACTAAGTTCATGCTTCATGTACTGGCCATTGAGCGGTGACATGGCCTGCAGATATGTCCATCCTCACTTCCCCATCACCGTCCCAGCTCAAGGATAGTAGGCAATTCATCTTCACATCCCCAAACACAGAAGGAGTGCTCTGTGCATGTCTGAGCAGTTAGGATGTCAGGAGAACTGGCACATCCAGGCAGGGTCTAGATATAGAAAGGAATCCTTCTTCGGAGATGGTTGGCCCTTTCAGTCTTAGAGACTACACCTCCTCACTCTTATCCACTGAGATCTCCAGCCTTTGCCATTTGGAGTGGCCAGTTCATAAGCTCCTAGCTAAAAGGCCCCAGACTCAGAAGATCCACCATCCCCTCAGGTTCCCAGGGTCTTCCTAACCTCCAACCCTTCACCACTGAGAGTTTTCCCAAGGAGTCACTCACCACGATGGAGTAAGCCAGGAGCATGATAAAGATGACAGTGACAAAGCCTGAAATGTCCCCCCAGGCACGGCACAGGGCTGATGTTATCATGTTCATTTGGGGTTCAACCTGAGCAGATGCCAAAGCTTCACTGTGGACTGCAATACCAGAAAGGCAATGATGTAGCCAAAGGCAACATCAACTACCACTGTCTCGCTAAAACTGATTAACCTGTGAGACCAAGAAGGGAGACTGGGTCTCAGAGACTGTTAGCAGCTCAGCCAGAGTTCATCTGGGCTCAGTAAATCCCAAGATGCAGAATTTAGACTTATCTCAGAGGCCATCACTTCCTGCAACAGATCTAAGAGAGAGAGAGCTGTCCCGATTCCCCCAGCTAGGTGGTGATGAGATGGTGATGATGGTGATGGTGATGGTGATGGTGATGATAATGATAATGATAATGACAATGGTGATGATGATGGTGATCAGATGACATGATGTGAGGATGATAGTTATGATAGGGATGATGATGGTGATGGTTGTTCATGGGGCCATTACCTAGCAGAGCTATGGAAGAATGCCAAAGGAGGAATCCTCCCAGGGTCAAGAGGATGGAGGTGAGGGAGTTCTGTGAGCCTCTCCTCCCAGTTTGGGGTCCTCCTGCCATGTCCTCCTGTCTGAGTGAATGTACCCAACGCCCTTACATTTGAAGGAGAATGGAAGTACCATTCAGTTGCTGTGCTAAGTGAGGGCCTAATGAACTAATTGCATGGTGTCGTTTGACTTTTAAGACCACTGGATGAGGAAATATGCTATCTCCATTTTACAGATAAGGACAGAGAGTTGGCACAAGGTCACAGCTAGTGACGTAGTTAGTGGCATAACTAGTGGTAGAAGAATGACAGTTGGAATCCAGGTGTGTCTGATTCCAAAATCTAGATTCTTCCCCTCATCCCACCCTGTACCTCATTCCCTTCTTGTGCTTTGCACTTTAAATTCAATCTTAATGTTGGTGTGTCATTAAAAATGGCAATAGATATATCTCTATTGACATGGAAGGGAACAGATTATAGAACAAAATCATGTGATCTTAAGTTTGTAAAAACATTTCATATACATATGTAATGCCCTAGTGAAAGGCATCCTTCTACCTCATCTTCTGCCTTCCAGAATCTTCCTCCCGTTTGAGCAGACTGAGGCTGCTGGTATGGATGGTTGCTTAATCCTTGATCTCTTTTAAGATACCTAACCCTCTCTCATGCCGTTTGATTGTTCACGTATGTGGAAATAACCATGTAAGCCCTCCTTTATGATAGCAGTTAGCTCTAATTAGAGCACAGTTCTGAACCTCGGCTACATTTTAGAATAACCAGGGGAACATGAAAAACACTGGTGCTGGGGATGTGTCCCCACACATCCTGATTTACTAGGCCTGGGACGTGGCCTGTGTATCAGGGCTTGATCATCTCCCTGGGTGATTCTGCTGAGGAGCCCGGCCTGAGAACCTCTGGATTAAAGGGAGACTATGAAGCAAATCATTTGGCCTTAAAAAGTACTTTTGAAATTCAGGATCAAGCTATAAAATGGCTTATCAATTCCAACAAGAAAGCATAATTTACAAGTTTCTGAAATAAACACAAACTTTGGTTCTCTGATTAATCCAATTCAACCAAGGGTTTTACAACATAATACCAAACTTAACCATACTCAGCTTTCTATCAAAAGTGGAAGATTTCTTTTATGTTTTCTGATACTTAATGTAAAAAGAGAACTCTCTTTTTGTAAAATTGTTTTATAACTCATCTAAGCAAGAAACCAGTGTGTGTGTGTCAAGAGTCAAGTATATTCTAGGTCATTGTAAGGAATCATTAAGCATGGCTGGTGTGGGGACAGTGATGGTTCAACAGTCACACTGGCTGCCAATGAACCCAGTCACACATGACCTAAAACTAACTCACCATTGTTCCTTCCTAGAACTCAGGCTTTGTTCCCTAAGCAGGAGTCGACAAAGTTTTTCTGTAAAGGGCCAGATCGTACATATTTGAGGCTCTGTGGGCCAGTTTCTGTCCCAACAACTCAACTCACTTGTAGCGGGAAAGCAGCCATAAAGGAATGAGTGAGTGAGGTAGTGTTCTAATAAAACTTTATTTATAAAAACAGGTGGTGGCTGAATTTGGCCCCCAGGTTATCTTTTGCAGACCCCTTCAAGAGCTAATACATCTTTAAGTTTTTAAAATAACTGTTCTGCATGAGGTTTACAATCAGCTTAAATTAAAATAAAAGTACTTGTGATAATTTTTTAACTCAAAGGACTCGATTGATGCTAAGACACTTTAATGGAAGGGGGCCTCTAGACAGGGTGGAGTTTTTGTCATATATTTGGTGTGGTAACATGGATGTGGCACAGAGAAGAGCTTTTTGTGGGTTTGTTGAATGAATGAACGAACAGTCTAGAGTAGAGGCTAGGTGGGCAGAGTTCAAATTCTGGGCCCTGCATTTGCTTGCTGTGTGACTTTGCAGACAACTTACCCTCTCTGAGCCTCAATTTCCTCATCTGTGGTAAAAAGGATGATGATAATATATCTTAGAAGTTTGAGGAAGATTAAGTAGATGAGATAATGCTTTTATTTATTATTATTATTTTTTTAGCTGAGCCATCCTGCCACCTATTGGCAGCTCTGCGGCAGCTCAGCTCAGCTCAGACCGGGATTCCAACCAGCAACACTGTTGCTCAGAGCTCGCAATCTTGAGTGAGCTCTTAACCAACTGAGCCACTCAGCTGGCCCTGAGATAATGCTTTTAAAGCAGTGTCTTTATGACAGTGTATGGCATCCAACAATAATAAATGTTAGCTATATTTATAGAATCAGTGAATCAAAAAAATGCAGTGGTTCACAGTGAGGACTGGGATCCTGGAGACACACAAGCTAGGTTTAAATTACTTCTGTGCCACTTTTGAGTTGTGTAGCCTTGGGGAAGTCACATTACCTCTCTGAGCTCCGAGTTCTTTATTTGTAAAATGGGGTAATGATCACCTTTATTTCCACGGGTTCTCATGAGGATCCATCTGATGGGCTAGTGCATCCTGCCCAGCACAGAGGGGACACTTCGTAAATGGTAGCAGATGCAGGTCGAAGGCACTAAATACTGGCAAACCCCTGCCCAAAAGGCTCGGAGGGACCTTAACAGAGTGTCCCTTGGTCCTGTGTTTTGGTAAGATTTGCAAAAGATACTGTTCTATTTTGTCTTCAGACCACACATCTGAATCTAAGCGATAGCTGTAGTTATTTTTTAGAGTGACCCTTGATCCTCTGAGGGCCAACAAGATTTCAAAAGCTCCCATGAGCCCTGGGCCACACAGAGCTGGAGGAAGCAGGGCCAGTGATGGGGACTTGGGGCTGAGGCAGAGCCACTTACTCCTCCGTGTGCTTCCGGTAGCACTGGATGTCGCACTCTGCCAGGATGGGCCTCTTCACAAATACCGCCAGGGCACTCCAGCTAGCCCGGGTGATGGCCAGCTCAAGAAGGTTCCACTTGCTGTAAAAATAGCACCACTTCAGCCTCCTCATGAGCTTAGCCTGGGAAAAGAGCCGGAGGGTCTACCAAAGGCTGTGGTCAGAACTGTGCCCATCCCCCGCCCCCAGGGTGGCTCCCTGCACCACTCAGGATGCCCTTCTGAGAGGGGGTTACTAGATCCTTGGAAGTTTCTCAAAGCCCTGGCCCCACAGGCAGAGAGTGCTAGTGGCCTCTCCCCAACTCTGTGCACAGACTCCATCTGCTGAACTGCAGGATTTGGGGTGTGTAAGAGTAAATACAGCATCTAATAAGACAAACATTTATTCTCTCTGATGCAACGAAAGGGCAGAGGGGAACGACAGCCCCCCACCACAGAGCATTTACTTAAGAAAACTTGTCATTGTGAATTCTTTCTCTGCTCCTTTGAGATGTATGTAAATCTTTTTTAAAAGCTAAACAAGCCTCTTGCCAGTTTTACACCTCAGGAATGTTTTTCTCAACGACCTGAGAACCATCTCTTTGAAATGTAATCAAGGAAGATAGCACCCTGTCTGCCAGTTTCCCTGAGAGGGTAGGAGCCTATCAGTAGGCGGCTGGCTCCAAGTTGCAAAACTACCCCCTGTTGTAAACATAGGAGAGGCTTAGTTTTCCTTTTGATAAAGGTAATTAGCAAACGCAGGTGGCCACCCCAATTACCAAAAGAATTTAGGATGGACTAGTGGAACAAATGGTGCTGTAAGTCCTCTTAAGGATTAATTAGCCTTTATTTTAAGAATGTATATACAATGGGTTATATCTGCATAGCACTGAGATTTCTTTGCCTTTGCAGTCTCTTTAGCAGATTGCGTGGGATGCCCATCATGCTCTGGTTTAATGCTTTTTCAATAATAAAAGTTGTGTTCTTAGGGGGAAGGTGGGAGTTATTATTGAATGGGAACAGATTCAGGTTCCCAAGAGAAGAGTTCTGGAGATGGATGGTGGTGATGGCTGCACAAACAATGGGGCTGTAGTTATTGCCACTGAACCATACATTTAAAAATGCCTTAAATTGTAAATTTGATGTTACCTATAAAACTTAAAATAAATAATTTTAAGCCATTTTTTTTTCTACCTTTGTGGAGAGGTTTCCTGGATTGGCAGGAGATTGTTTTTAACTCTATTTCTCCAACAGGTGTCACAGGTCAAAAAGAATTATTCTGTGCATGTTCTCGGCCTCCTTCCTGTTCCTTTCCCTTTCACTCAAGAGAACCTTCTCCGGTCTATTTAGTTTCCCTCCCCTACCCACTCTTATGGAGGAAGGACTAGAGTTTGGCTGGTAAGAGGCAAAGTTCGCCTCCATTATAATGGGGTGGAGCTAGAGGGATATTTAAAAAACTGCTCAAACAACTCTGAGAAAGATTTAAGTGAGGGTTTTGTAGAGAGGCTTTCTGAAACAGCCGCAGGCTGAGTGTGAGGTCAGTTGGAAGGAGAGGAATGAAGCCCTGAGGGGTGGTGGATGGGCCTCCTTTGATGTTCTTAGAGAAATGCTGGGCCTAAAGTTGCTATTGGATAACTTGGCTGTTGGGTTTGAATTGGTGATACTCAGAGACTGCATAGTTTCCTGGTTTATGAGGCTGGTTATGTGGCACAAGGGTTGAGTGTCAAGATCAGGAGTCAGACTTTTCGGGATTCATTTCCAAACTTGGATAAATTACTTCGCGTCTTTGGTCTTGACTTCCTACTCAGAAAAGGAGTTCATAGGATCTTTCTCCTGGTGTTGTTAAAGGAGAGAATCCACGTAAGGTTCTTAGCACAATGCCTGCCTCATAGTAAGCACTCAAAGGATCTTTCTTACTTTAAAGTGGTTGCTGTGGTTGTTGGAGCAGAGGATGGGGGGGCGGGGCTAAGATGCCCCTTGTAGGTATCTGGTTTCCATTTTTGGTGGAAGGAGAGGCAGGAGTGTATAATGTGCTTTAGATGTGTTCCCAACATCCTGAAACCATCATCATTATTAACATCTGCACCTTCATTGTGCAACATGGTGGTAACGGCGGCAAGGGGGATTTTTCCTAATTCTCAGGGGCCATGGGCGAGAACAAAAGTGCTAAAATCCTCCACAATTTAGATTCAGAGAACCCCCAGCTGTGAAAACCTCCACTTCTAGCATTTTTTGGAAGGTCTAAGTTCAGCAGAAAAAGCGGCTTTGCCCCCTTCCCTTCCACACCCAGAAAGTGTCACCCTCTGAGTTCTTAGTTCCTGTGAGGGGCCCAAGTTGGATCCCTGAGCCAGGTCAGCCCCCCAGGATGAGCAGAAGGGACCTGAAAAAGTTGCCATGGCAAACAGGTATGCAGAACCCACCCCCTCCTTTAGACCCCACTCCAGGAAGGGGGGAAAGGGTGGGAGGGGGAATGGGCACCCCACCATCCCCATCCTTGCCCATGGAGCCACAAGCCCACCCCTTACTTGCGCGATCATGTAGTAGAGAAGGAACAGGTAGTAGAGGACCTCTGCAGCTACCACAAAGGGGTGCCAGCCATTGGTGAAGGCTCTGCAGGTCTGCGTGCACAAAGAAGGTTCCTGGGAAGCAGAGTGTGTTCCTCTCACCCCCCATCCCTGACCCCCCACCCACTCAGAGCCACTGCCTTTGACCAGAAGTCATCAGTGGGATGACTCCAGGTCAAGCCCTTCTAAAGACTGGCCAGAGGCAGAAGAGAAGATAAAGGTCCTTCAGACCCACAGACCTAAGGGACCCATGTAAAGATAATGGATAGATCAGAGGGGACAAAGGTAGCTGCATTGGAAGACCCACCCCCTACCCTCTGCATTTGGTGCTGGCCATTTGTGCATTCAGTCCCCTGCAGCCAAAGCGCACCCACCCACGCAGCAGCAGTTTACTCCAAGATAGCACATTTAAAACCATTTCATCTGAACACAGTTCACTGAGGATCCATTCGTCTATTGACCAATATGCCTAAAATTCAACTATTTTTTTTGAATGATCTTTCATCCATTTGTGTGTCTTTTCCCTTTTTTTATTGAAATGATTTTTTTAGTAATGATTTTTTGAAACCAATTTAATTAGTGAGGCTACTGCCTACAAAGACAGAGCCAGCCCCAAGAATAGCAGAAGGGAGAGAGGCAAACAGCCTGAGTCCTTACTGTCAACAGTGGCCTGCTGATCAACCAGACCTGAAACCTGTCCCCCACTTCATATTTGTAGAAATACGTAATTGAGTCAGGTATGTTTGGGAACAAATTGTGTAAGAGATCCTTAAAAAGCCAAAACGATGACAAAAAGAAATAAGAAAACAAAAGAGATACAAATAAGCTCCCAAAAAAGGATTTGAAAGAAAATTTTCAGTGGAGAATGATAATGGAAGTTGATATGATAATAATGGAAGGTTTTTGGGGGGAGGGGGGTTGTTACTTTGTGAGGGTGAAAAGGGTAACTATTGCATTGTTCTGTACACCTGAAACTAACAATAAAAAAAAAAATAAAAAAAATAAATCCTGCAAAAAAAAATAATAATAATAATGGAAGGTTTTTCCACAGTTCTAAAATTTTTATAAGAACTACAAACATTACATTTTAAATAAAAGTAATACATATTTTTTAATTGTTTCTTTTTTTTTTCATTTAGCTGAGCCATCCTGCCACCTTTTGGCAGCTCAGCGGTAACTCAGCTCGGGCCGGGCATCAAACCGCTGTTGCTCAGAGTTCAAACTCTTGAGCGAGCTCTTAACCAACAGCCATTCGGCCAGCTAAATTGTTTCATATTTAAAGGCGAGGTGATTGAGTTTTAGGCAAGTTGATGATTAGCTGAAGAGGCCTTAGGTCTGTGTTTTCAACAGATTGTGATTAGCATTAAAAGAGGGTGGAAGATGGGGGCATAGGGAGAAAGAATTAGAATAGAACATAAAATATCAGAGTATATCTCATGTAGTTAAGGGAAACGTTTTTGAAGCTTTTGTCTCAGTTATGTGTATATTTGTATGTGTTGGATTATGATATAAAATGTACTATGCTCTGTAGATTGAGGTACAAGTTGTAAAATATTGTTACCAGATCCCCCTCTCTCAGCCCCACTACCAGCCCCCCCCCCAACCCCACCCCTAGTAGAGTGGGAAGCTCAGGGATATAAGCTGCCTTCAGACTCCACCTGGGTTCTCTTAGGATAACTTGGGAGACAAAGCCAGAGAGGTGAGGGGTCAGCTAGGAATAAAGCTGGCTGGAGCAGCCCTGAGGCCTTGCCTTTGGGTGCCCAGGGAGAACCAGGACTCACCCCAAGTTTCCCAAACAACCATTTTCCCTGGAGCTCTGGCCCTGGGGTGGATGGGCCCTGGCCTAGAGGGAGGGGAGGAGTGTTTATCTTCTGGAATTCTGCAGATGGGTTCACAGGCAAATGCCCACCCAGGGCACTGGTCTCCAGGGTCAGACAGATGATGCAGAACAGGTTGACGTTGGCATTATAGACAGTGAACTCCACAAATACGGCTCTGGTCAGGCTGTCTAGCCAGGTGTTGTCAAAGAGACACTGGAGAATTCTGTGGGAAGAAGGGCTTGTAGGAGCATCTCTATCCAAAGTGGCTCGCTGTCCCCTCAGCCTGGGGAGGAGGCCAGGGCTTCCTGCTGAAACTCCTCCCTTTGCCTCAGCTCTGCTCCCTGGGCCGCAGGGCTCTGGGGCTGCACCTGGAAGTGGCCAAGTTTCCCATCCCCTGGTGCAGCGTCTTGACACCCATTGTCCCTTTGCTGTAATAGCAGAGGTTCTCACAGTGGAGTCCCCAGACCAGCAGCATTGGCTTATTAGAAATGCAGATTTTCAGCTCCAGCCACCTCCCAAATCAGAAATGCTGGAGGGGGCTGGGGCCTGGAGATCTATTCTCTGATAAGCCCCCCAGGAGATTATGATGCTTTTTAAAGTTTGAGGACCATGGTGTTAAAGGAGCCACATAAAACATCAGGAGCTTAGGCAGGTGGCTGCTGTAGCTGCTGAGGTCCCTCTTGGGCTGACACCTCACATGAGACCAGTTCCTAGAGCTCGGCCTGCTGGTGTGGTGGAAGGAGCATGTGCCGGAAGGACCTGGATTCAAATGCTGACTGCCCTATGTGTGGAGCAAGCTAACAGCTTCTCCAGGCCTCACTTTCCTGGTCTACAATGGTGTTAACACCAGCGCCTCAGGATCACTGCAAAGAGAAAATGGAATGGTGTGAATGTGTGTGCATGTGTGTGTGTGTGTGTGTGTGTGTGTGTGTGTGTGTAGTAATGATAGCTGTTATTTCTTAGAGAATACTGATGGGCCTATTTTAAAATATCCCCTGTTTCCATGGGTCTGCACCCTGCTTGATACATTGAAGCAGGGAAAGAGTATCAGTTGTTCCAAGTGGCAGGAAAAGACCTTTTCCTGAAATAGGCTGTTCTTGGCCTGTCCTTAATCCCAGGGGACCCCTGCCAGTTGTTCTCTTGGGAGTTTGTTATTTGTGTTGTAGGCAGGGCCAGGGCCCTGCCATCATAAACAACCTCAGTGTTATAATAATACAATGGCAGAGACTGGGATTCACATACCCTGTAACTTGCCTGGGGCTACACAGCTAGCAGGAACAGTGAGTGCCAGCGTTTCTAACCTAGGGCTCTCTGACTGTGGCGTGTGCTGGGAGTGGCAGCCTGCAGGGGCCCTGAGCGCTCCTGTGCTAAGTGTTCCAGGAATGCCAGGCCGTGGGTAGGCTTCACCCAGGCCATTTCTCAGGGCTGTGTTTGTAGTGGGCCACCTTGAGGGGTGAGGTGGCATCTTCCTTTGGACAAACAGCAGGCTTCTGCCACTATGAAAGCAGTGAATGCTTCCAAGCTCGGTGTTGCCCTTTGGTCCTGGCAATGCACTGCTCATGCAGGCATCTATCGTGGCCCTTGGCGGGGAACTGACTCAAACCACTGTGAAGCTCCGCCACTGCTTTTGCTGTAAGTCCTTTGTCTCCAACTCAGGAGTCACATATCTTCTGCCAACATCCATGAAACAGTAACAGGCCAGCTCATTAGCTACATGATTCTTGGTAAGGTTAAGCCTTAACCACTTCCCACTTGCCAGGTGGATAGCTTTATACGACTGTGAGCACCCTATCCCTGCACTGGCTCTAGCAGAGGCCACCAAACTGAGATCACCAGGCTGAGAATGCTGAAGAGGGACTTCCAACTCTGAGATCACACAGTTTCCAGGGGCCCAACTCTGAGATCACACAGTTTCCAGGGGCCTAAAAAGATGACCTAAATAATTCTGAATCCCCCACAATGACATGAGTGAGCTTGGCTCAGCCCTGTTTTGAAGCCTGCACTTGCCAATCAGACCTGGCCTCTAGCAAATGGAATGGCACATGGGCTCAGAACAATGGAGGTCTTGTAGACCAACTACTTGGCCCTCTGGTGACAGTGGGACTGATCCTTATAGAGACAGCAGAAAGGAGTAGAGTCCACAAACCATGAGGGCCCTGCCTAGATTCAAATCTTGGCTCTGCCACTTCCTATTCATGTGCCCTTTGCAAGTGACTTAAACCCTGTACCTTACTCTCTTCATCTGTGAAATGGGGATAATAATTTTATTACACAGGGTGGTGGTGAACGAGTTAACAAAATATTTACAAAACACTTAAAATAGTGCCTGCACAGAGTTCATGCTATATAAGTGATTCTAAAATATAATTTTTTTTAAAAAATAGGGCATCTGCCATATTATAATGCTGAGAATGAAGCTATGAAGATGACAGATGTGTTCCCTGCCCTCATGGTGCTCACCTGTCTTGTAGGAATGTGATGTAAGGTGAGTGTGCTGTAAGGACCCGAAAGGTACAAAGTTTAGTTTACGAGGCCGGACATCAGAATCGTGTGGGGGATGTGGCACCTTACTGAACCAGAATCTCTGGGCGCAAGGCCTGGGAACTGGCATTCTGGCCCCCACCCCCCCATTTGCAGGATAACTTCTCAGGGTTCTGCCCAAATCCCTCAGCCTTCTTCATTCTGCACACGCTACTCCTTCTGCACAAGCTCCCCAGCTCTCTGCTTTGGCCAGGATTGTGCTTGGCCAGTGGAAAGGGCAGGCTAGGCATGCTGCATGGTCAGTGCTCTCCTCACCAGCACCTTCACCAGTGACCTGGTGGGTGACAGCTTGGGGGTGTATACTACATGTTCCACCTGAGGTCTCCAGCCAGACTGAGCCCCAGTCGCCCGCATGAAACCCACTCATCACGCTTTCCACTGGCTTCCTTTTCTCCTCCTGTACTTTCCCCTCCCCTACAAATGCTTTCCAGTATCACCTCCCAACTACTTGTACCCAAATCTGTTTGTGGGGAACCCAGATTAAGACACACTGAGGCTTGAAAGCTCCTGGCCAGAGGGCCAAGGGAAGCCTGTCTGAAGATACAACCTTTAGGCTGAGAATGAAAGAATAAGAGGACTAGCCAGAAGAAAAGGTGGAGGTGAGGTGAGTGCATTCCAGCAGACTAGATGGGACAGCCTGGGTAAAGGCCTGGGGTCAGGAGTAGGCACGATGTCCCAGAACCTGCAGAATGAAGTGTCACTGGAGCTCAGGGCACAGGGGGCTGAGAGAGGTGACCTGGTGTGGGTGAAGCCACAGTAGGGAATTTGGACTTTATTCTAAGGGCCATGAGGGGCCACTAGAATGATTGTGTTGGGGAGAAGCTGGGGTGAGTTGATATCTAGGAAAATATATCCAAGGAGCTGTGTGGGGCTGTCAGAGGTTGCACAGTGTCTGTTCAAGTCTGTGTTGAGACCCAGTCATGGGTAATCTTGGCCACCTACCCAAGATTTCTGTGATTAGGGCAAACGCTTTCTGTTCCTTGAGGTGGGTGGTTCTCATCTTCTCAATGTCAGTGGCCAGAGGTGGCTGGTAGACATCCTTTCTGCTGTTTCTTTGTACTCGAAACAAGACAGAGGGGTCTGTGAAAGCAAGGACACAAGGACAGTCCCCCAAATGGGCAGTGGGTCCAGGCTCTTCATTTGCAACCAGGTACAGCCAGAATCTACCATTCCTGCTCTGCGGGAGCACTTTCCCAACACGGCCCTCTGTGCTCCGCCCACACTATCCCAGTGCCCGATTTCCATCCCTTCTCCATCTGGAGAATTCTCCTCCTCCTGAAAACACAAATGCCTTCCGCTCCCTGAGGTGCTCCTGACTCCTGAATGCTGCCTTCCTCGTGTTCCCGTTCTTGGACTCTAAGACGGGTCCCAATGCTTCTAAGCTTTGATGGATGGAAGAATGAGGATAACTAATGTTTCAAAGGCCTGCCGTGTCTGATGCCAGTATCTTCTTTTTAAGATCAATTTATTGAGTTATAATTGTTGTAAATTCACCCATTGGAAGTTTGTGACTCAATGACTTTAGTAAATTTAAAACAACTCAGTTTTAGAACATGTTCATCACCCCAAAAGGTTCCCCTGTGTCCCACTGAAGTTAGTCCCCACTTTCACTCTGTTCCCAGAGCCTCAGCCCCATTAATTTGCTTTCTGTCTGTATAGATTTTTTTTTTCTGGATGTGTCATATAAACGGAGTCATATGTACATAGTTTCTTATACCTGGCTTCTTTCAATTAGCATGTTTTGGATTTCATCCATGTTATTGTATATATTAGTAGTTTGTTCCTTTTTATTGTTGAGTAGTAAGTATTCCATTGTATGGCTGTACTACCTTTTGTTTATCCATTAACCCATCAATGGGCATTTAGATTGTTTCTAGTTTTGACTATTATAAATAATACTGCTATGAACATTCAAGTAGGGGTGTTTGTGTGGACATGTATTTTCATTTCTCTTGGGCAGATTCCTAGGAGTGGGAATTTTTCAAGTGAAGCTGCTATGAACATTTATGTACAAGATCCTGCATTAAAATAAGTCTTCATTTCTCTGGGATAAGTGTCCAAGAGTACAGTTGTTGGGTTGTACTCGTGTGGCACTTTTGTTTTTAGATTTGAGAGGAACTGCCAAACTGTTTTCCAGAGTGGCTTTACTGTTTTACCGTCCCACCAGTGACGTGTGACTGTTCCAGTTTCTCCACATCCTTGTCAGCGTTTGGTCACTCTTTCTCACTTTAACCGTTCTGGTGGGGATGTATTGACCCAACTGCCTTTGGATCCATGTCCTGTCCATCCCACTACCAGTACATGTCATCTCTTGCCTGGCCTGTTGCAATATTTCCTCCCAGACTCCCCACTTCCATTTTTGACCTAATACCTTTAATTTCCAAGAACAGCCACAGTAATTTTCCTAAAAAGACAAGCAGAGCATGCTTCTCTCCTATTTAAAACACTCCAAAACCCTAGCATTGATCCAGGCCCTGCGCGGCCTGCTTCCCACCAACCTCTTTGCCCTCATCTTGGACCATTCTCCCTTAATTTCCCATGCTTCGGCCACACTGTCCATAATTGTTATCAAATGACAAGCTGTGTCCCACCTCAGGGCCTTTGCACATGCCCAGTGTGCAATCCCTCCCTTCCCCTACCTTCCAGGAACCAGTTTAGGCACCACCTCAGCAGAGAGGCCTGCACTCTTCCTCTCCCACACACACAGTTCTCATCACATTTCACACTTATGTGTCCACTTGTGCACTTCCTTATGTAATGTGTCTCCCCAGGTGGGCTATTCATTCCAACGGCAGCACCCTGTTCCATCCAGTCAGTACTGAGTTGCCTGGGACTAGGGTGGGATGCGGGATTGACTTCAGTGAGCAAGAAGGACCCTTCTGGGTTTATGAAGCTATTCTGAATCTGAATTGTGGTGATGGCTGCACAACTCTATACAATTACTAAAATCAGCGAGAACCAAAACTGAATTATACATTTATGAGTGGATTGCATGTAAATCATGTTCCCAAACCATCACACTGCCTGGCACACAGCAAGTATTCCCTGAATAATTATCAAAGGAATGACTTAATGAATATTTAATTAGTCTGGAGGCTGGCCTCTCCTTGAAGAAACATTACTCTTGTGTTGGGAATAAGATTTTAATGGACCTTTTGGATCTGCAAAGCCAAAACCCTAATCTAGAGTGGAAGAATACAGGCCCATGGGGGGGTAACCACACTGCGTAATGATGTAGACACCTGGGATTTTGCTAGTTTTGTTTTCCCTGAAAGTCAAGATTTCTGCATAGACTATTAGAGTGTTGCTTTTGTTCTGTTTGCTTGTTTGTTTTTATAATTTTCTTATTGTCAGCACCCTCAGGAGTTTTTGGCTGGGAAATGAGAAATCAAGTTGGGGGGAAGGGTGCTGGTCAGTGGGCTCCTCCACCAGGGCTCAGCATGGATGTGTTCCAGTAAAACAGTTTACAAACACAGGTGGTGCGCTAGATTTGGGCCCCCAGCTATCATTTGCAAACCCTTGTCCTAGAACTCTAACTTATGGTGACTCTCTGCAGCCCACCACAAGCTTGTTCTTTTGGTTTTCATTCTAAAGACCAGGGATCTGAGCCTTGGAGAAGAAAGCTGCTTGATTGGGATTACACAGAAAATGATGGCTAATGCAGAGCATGGCTCTCAAGGACAGGGGGCCCTCTTCTGGACAGGGGGCCATGCTTGGGTGTCAGGGAGAAAGGCTCAGGTAGAGAAGAAACAAGGTTGCTCAAGAGACATGAAGGAATCACTTGTTTCTGGATGGTTTGGGGGTGGCTCACCAATCTGGGGTGAAGGGCTGATGGGGAGTGAAGCTCTGAGGCTGAGGACAGGACCACCCACCCCCGTGGCTGGGCTCTCTAGGGCTTTCTCAGCCCTGTTCAGTTCCAGGCCCATCCCTGCCTCCATCTGTGCACCATTACCTATGCTGGACAGATGTCCCAGGAGAGGTGCCATAGTCTCCTCCTCGTCCTCTACTCTCTTCAAGACCAGTGCAAAGAAGGCAATGAACCCCAGCACCTGGAAAATACCCACCGTGAACCCCAAGCCCAAGTTGGAAACTATCAACTCCTGGTCTGAGAGGGGGCAGGGTCAGGACCATTTGTGTCCTGGGTGCATGAGCCATCCTCTGGGAAAGTCAGGTGGGAACCAGCCCAGCCTTTGCAGAGAGGGGCAGTGGTTATGATGGGTGAGGGCCAGGGCTTGCATGCACCTGGCTACGAACCAGAGGGCCTGGCAAATCCTTGAGCTCACCCTGCTTCCATCACACCCTGAGCCTCACTGCCTGCTGCCCTCCTGCTGTTAGGCCTTTCTCTTACCCCTATGTCCCCTGAGGATTGCTCCTCTCTCCCTTTCTTCCTGTGTTAAGCAATTAGTTCCCTTACACTAACTGCACAGTAAGGGTGCAGAACAGGGCTCCCCAAAATGTGCCACTTTGGCATGTGAATTATTTTGAGCTGAGAGAATAAAGACCAAGCAAGCTCACAAAAACTCTTACCTCTCCTTTAAAGAGTTTAAAGTAGGGACCTTGCCCATATTAGGAGTTATTACCAGAAATAACTTTTTTAATGACCTATCTATAGAGCAGGGCAAACTTTTTAACTACTGAACGCTTACTCTTCTTACCATCCTGCAATGACCTTTGTCCCCTCTGAAGCCCTAAGGTGATCCTTAGCCCAGAATGTCATACATGCCTCATGTTTCCTAAGACAGGTTAGTTAGTATAATATCAGGTGGTCAGGAATTTCCTGGTAGACTGAGCAAAGATAAGAAAAAAACTGACCATTCCTTAAACTAGCCATTCCTTTCAAAATTATAGGGTAATTCCCTCATACTGGAACAGAGACATCAATCATGCCCCAGAGCAACAAAGCCATTTTGGAGGACATTAGAAAAGGCCTCCCTAAGGCTGAGCAACAGAACAAATCTGATAAATACCTTAATGACAGGCACCAGTATTTCAGCATTCCCCCTTCCAGGAAGAAAGAAAAATATAAAACTCAAGCCCTAGCTAGTGGGCATCCCAGTTTTCGGGTACCCCCTCCCACTCGGGAGCTGTAACCTTTCACCTTTCTCTTGCTTTAATAAAACTATCCTCTGCTACAAATTCTACCTCTCTGGTCCATGTCTCCATTCTTCGGCTTCACGAGACCACGACCCCGGCACAAGAAATATCCTACATCATTCCCTTTCTGTCTCTGAACCTCTCTTGGATGCAGGGTCTCTGACTCTTTCATGTATGTCGGGTTCCCGTGCATACATATGGATTAAATTTCGTTATTTTCTCTTGCTAATCTGTCTCATGTAGATTTAATTATTAGACCAGCCGAAAGAACCTTGAGGGTAAAGGAAAGTTTCTTCCTCCCTTCCACCTACAGTGCACACGCATAGTAGGATTCTATGGTTTGGTTGGGAACAAAAAGGCCCAGGACTCTGTTCTTAAAATTCTCAGGCTAGGTTGGGGCAGGTGTCGGGAATTGTTGGTCTTCTGATAAACACTGCTTGGGGCAGGACAGGGGACCAAAGGGTAGAATGGGCGTGGGGGATTTGGCAAGCCTGAGAGAGTAAGGATTCACTGAAAATGACCCTCCTTTCTGCCACCTCTTTCCAAGGGAAGCTGTGGCTCCGAGCTCCAGGCCAGGGCTCAGTATTTCTTCTGCTCTGACAGCAACTTTACTTTTCAGAAATAAGAGTGTATCTTCCAATTGATGTGTACATTTAATGACTTGGGTTTTTCATCTGAAGGTCAAAGTTCCTATAAATTGCTGGCCTATCTCACAATCAAAAGGATCTTAGAATTGAGGAAATACACTATTATTCCTATTTACACGTGTGGCCTAGTGCAGGATGTTTATGACTTTAACTGATTCATTTCAGGTTTTCTCGTCTATAAAGTGGAGGTAAGGACCTTCCCAAGGGTGATTGTGACAATGAAATGCCAGTTTCTTAGAAAACCACAAGCCTGGCCCGGAGTGAGTGTCCAAGAGTTTGGCTTATCATGGTGATTCTCGTCATTATTGTTCCTGCCCTGGGACCTGCACAGAGGAGGTGCTCCATGTAAGTTTGTTGAACAAATAGATGAAGGAACAGCTGAAGTAAGAACAGGGCAGCTGGCAGGAGGCAAAGTGTGGGCAGAGGGGAGAAGGGCAGCCACCCGGAGGTCCTGACCTAGGGGCTGGGTGACGAACACACTCTCCACGAAGGAGACCGCCACAAAGATGAGCCACTTGAGAGAGCTGGCTCGCCCATAGTGCAGGCCGTACAGCATGGTGAAGAAGGCTGTCAGCCCACGAGGACACACCCCCAGGGCAGGCCGCGAGGGGTCTTGCTTGGTCTCGGGGAGCTGCAGTGGAAAGTGGATATAGTCAGGGTGACACCCGCCAGGCTCAAGTTAAATTCCCACTCCACCCCATCAGCTTTGTGACCTTGGTCATGCTCCTTGACCTCTCAGACCCTCAGTTTTCTCCTCTGTATTTTGTATCTGCTTCAGAGGTATATTCCATATTCCATGCAGTATACCTATTGTAAAAAATATTGTAAGCAGAGCCACTTCAAAATGGAGTCAGAGCTGCCATCCCAGAGGACTTGCCTTGCACATCTTATTCCTCAAGCCTTTGGAATGTTAAAACCGGGCAAAATAACCTTTGGCCTGGGCCTAAAGCAACACTGTATTCTAAACAATGTGGCAAAGCTAATAGGGTGGCAGACATTATGAAAATTAAAGACATTTTTTAGAATTAGCATTACTATGTTAGCTTATTTGCATCTATAGAAATGGCTTCCTTAGCTTATTAACACCCATAGAAGACATTCCTTCCTTCTCTTTCCCCTTCCCTTTCTCATAAACACACCTGGCCTTTACCTCCTAATCAGAACACTGTTTGGGCTTCTGCCGAGCCAGTGCTTCCTGAATAGCTATTCTTTTGGATCTCAAATAAAGGCTTGTTGCCTCTCATTTCGCTGTTTATTTTTAGGTTAACTATCTATATATTCTATTGAGATCACGTTTATTCAGTGCTTGCTAGGACCCAGTCCCCACGTGAAGTGCTCTGCACAGATTAGCTCCACTATTCCTCATGGCAAGCCTCAAAGTCTGGTACTATATAATTTTTTAGAAGTTTTTATTATGAAAGTTCCTCATCATACACAAATCAGCAAGCCTAAGGAACCCCCATCAACTATTAGTTTCAATAACCATCACCTCCTTGTCACACTTATTTAATCTATCCCTGCCCTCTTTTTTTTTTGGCTGGGCTATTTAAAAATAAATTCCAGATATAGTGTAAAATCGTCCCTAGTTACTTCAGAATATTTCTCAAAATTGTCATTTCCTTACTGAATTACAGTTGTCATACCTAACAAAATTAACAATTCCTTAATGTCATCTAATAACCTGTCTGTATTGAAATGAAGGGGAGCAGAGTTTGCTACCCCAAAATATGCCTATTTGAGCATATTGATTATTTTAGGGTGGTTATTTTTAAGATGAACAGCAGACAAGGGAAAAGCCCTGAAAACCAAGTAGAGGTTACCCTTTGTAAAGGGACATTTATACTTATAAGGGAAATCTCCGTTTATAAGGGTGTTTTCCTACGTGTACCTGGAAGAGGAGGATATCTAAATCTCTAAGGGCCGGCCGAGTGGCTCAGTTGGTTAAGAGCTTGCTCAAGAGTTTGAGCTCTGAGCAACAGCAGTTTGATGCCCGGCCCGAGCTGAGCAGCCGCTGAGCTGCCAACAGGTGGCAGGATGACTCAGCTTAAAAAAATAAAATAAAATAAAATAAATAAAAAATAAAAAAATAAATCTCTAGAGACTTATCAATGGAGAAGGCTTGAACTTAAATCTGCATAACAACTTTACCCTTATTTACTGTGCTTTTACTGGTAACCTTCCATAGCTGACTCCCCATGCCAACATCTTTTGTCTTTTGCTGAAGGTGGTATTTAAGGTGATGGCTTCTATCATTTTGGCAATTTACTCAGTTCTCCTGGGTTTATCCAGTGTATACATGTTATTAAAACTTAATTTGTTTTCCCCCTGCTAATCTGTCTCATATCAATTTGATTAGACCAGCCAGAAGAACACTGAAGGGTAGAGTAAAAGTTTTTCTCCCCGAGGCAAATTTCACTAATTATCTTAAAAATGTATTTTGTCTTAAGTACTTTTGTCTTGAATCAGTAGATAGGCATTGTCATTCCCATTTTACAGATGAGGAAACTGCGGCTCAGAGAGGTTAAAGGCCTTGTCCAAGGATGCACAACTAGGAAACATCCCACTTAAAAATAGTTATAAACTGCAAAATGCTATACAAAGGGCTCTAACTGCCTTCTTGTTCAAAGCTCCCCTACCAGAATTTGTGCAGGTATCCTGAATCATTTCTGCCTGGGGAGGTCTGGGTGAGCATCCTTCCAGGGTTGCCTGGGATGAGCTCTCCCCGAAGGCCCCAGGCAGCGGAGGCAGGTGCCCACCCAGCACCCATGGGAGTGGGTTACCTTGTTTGTGATGGAGGTGGGGTGCCCAGTTGTCCCCCGAGGCAGCTCTTCAGTGTCTGCAGCTGCCTGAGGGCCCAGGCATGGCTCTGACCCTGGGGGAAGCCCCTGGGTCCTACCAGCCACAACTCTTGCTCCACATGCTCCAGCTGAAGGTAAAGACACTGCCTGTAGACACTGTCTTCTGAGGGTCACTTGCGCCCACTTCAGGTGTCAGGCATTGCATTTTTCCTGGAGGACAAGGGAGAGCAAGAGCATCAGCTGGTGCTGACAAAGCAGACCGCCCCCAATAAAAACAATAGTGTTAGTGAAAGCTTTCTTGTATCAGGCCCTTACTATGTGCCAAGCCACCAGAAACCTGAGGTTCAGAAAGATCGAGTAAGTAAGGTACTAGGCTCACTTGGCTACTTAGGATTTGAATGTTGCCCTTTTAGTGTTTTATCAAGGGCACTTTCAAAATTTCCTTATACATAGAGGAAAAGAGAACAGTTACCAACATTTTGCCAATCTTGTTTCACTCTGCCCGCCCCCCCCATTTTTTTTTCTGGAGTACCTTAAAGTGAATCCCAGACGTAGTGTTATGTCATCTGTAAATATTTTAATATGCACAAGATTTGAATGAAAACCCAGGTTCGCCAGGTACCAAAGATGAAACTTTTGTTTTTAAATTTTTTTAATTATGAAGAATTCTAAACTTACAAAAGTAGAGAGAATGTTGAGATGAACTTGCACATACCCATGACTCAAAACAATCAACTCTTGGCAGTTTGTGTTTCACCTGCACCCCACCCACTGTCTCAATGTGGATTATTTTGAAGTAAATTCCAAGCCTTATGTCATGCTAGTAAATATTGTAATATGCTTCTAAAGATAAGTTCTCTTTTTAAAAACAAAACCAGTGTCATTATCAGTCTTTAAAATGATTAACAGTAATCTCTTAATAACATCAAATATCCAGTCAGTGGGTAACTCCTCCCCCCCACCCCCCATTATCTCGGGAATGTTTTCCTACAGTTGGTTTGTTCAAATTTCAGTTTCCTAAAAATTTTTTAAAAGCATTAATTTTTTTGTTTTAAATTAGAGATAATATATACTTTTGCAAGAAAAACACAAATTTGAACATTTCCACTTTCCCCTGTGCATTCTAAGGAAACGACCTCAACCTCACGGAGGAACCAGGCCTGGCTCCCCTGGCTGGGAGGCTGGCACCCAGGAGCATGTTCTGGGGCAGCAAGGACCCTGAAGCATCCCCACCCTATGATCCTTATCCAGTCACCAGTGAGAAGTGAATGAGAAAATAACAGGTGGGTGGATGGGAAAGGCTAATCTCATCTCAGACCAGATGTTGGTAAAGGCCTAGGGCAACGTAGACTCCTCCTCGAGGGACTAGAGACCAAGGTCAGCCATGCAGGGGGTCTGCCACGTCTCTGTGAGCAAGCCCCAATAAGAGCTCTGGACACCAAGGCTTGGCTGAGCATCCTAGTAGCAATACTCTGTGCTGTAGTCTCACGTCCGTGTCAGGAGGAATGAACACTGTCCACAGCTCCTCCGGGAGGAGCCAGTGGGAGCTCCATGCTCGGTCTTCCCTGAACCCTGCCCCACGTGCCTCTCCCTTTTCCTGGTTTTAATCTGTATTTTCTTCTCTGTAATAAGCATGATTATAATACTTCTGACTTATATGAGTCCCTCTAGTGAATTATTGAAACTGAGGGTTGTCTTGGGAGCTCTGGAGTTGAATGGCATTTCTGGGGCAGTGACAACTCATGTCTACCAGCCGCTAGCCCTGACTGCCATGACAGTGGGAATTACCCAAGTCCATTTTTTGCTCAGTTGGGTCCTTGGGGACACCCCAGAACATGATGCTGGTCAGCATGGTGCAAAGGAGCAGGGAGAAGCAGCAGGACATCCTTTGGACATGGGTGAAGTTGCTCTGAGCTGAGCAGCTGAAGATGGAATACCAGATGTATCCCTCTTGGAAGCCCATGGCGGTCTTCATGAAAAACAGGTGGCTGTGGACAGGCAGGGAGAGAGGGACAGGCATTTAGGGAGACAGGAATTGGAAAAGACTGGTCTCTCTGGAGAAGTGCTGGGATGAGAGGGTGAGACTTGTTTCTAAGATTTATCATCTGTTTTTTTTCTATTATAGAAGAAATACAGCATCATAGCAGCATCACTTAGAGTTAATGACGGGGACTCTGGGCAGAGTGGGTTGGAGTCCTGGACTGCACTTTTACTAACTGTGTGACCTCAGGCAAGTTACTTTTTGAACCTCAGTTTACTCATCTGTAAAATGGGGGTAATAACAGAATCTGCCTCACCAGATTGTTGAAAGGATTAAAAGTGATAACTTTTATAAAGCATTTGGCAAAATAGCTGTCATATAGGTGAATGTTCATCAGTGTTAGTGATTATTATTTCTGTTAAAATTTTAACGTAATATTGTAACTATAATATTATTGGGTTTATTAAACTACAGCATTAGAGGATAGTGGTTAAAAATTCCAGGCGCTAGGTTCAGACTCAGTTTGAGAGAATAAAAATTGACAGGCAGGGTCTCTGAAAATGGCACCACATTCTCCTTAATCTGTATTATTTTTTCTATGATATTTTTTCTATGGATATAGTTTAACCACAGGAACTCTTTAATGGCCCAGATTCACCTGAGAGTGTGCGGAGCTGATATTCCTAGCTGGCGCCTGTTCTGATTGGTCAATGCCAGCACCCTCCAGGGTTGAACAATACTTGGACCATAACTCTGGGGTGTGTGGGTGGCTTGGTCTCGGAGTAAAGGTGCATAAAGGGAGAGGTCAGTTGCCAGCAACAGTGATTTTCCATGTGATTGTTCTGCTCATCCAACAAATATTTGGTGAGCCTGTTTCTGTGTGCCAGGCGCTCTGCTGGGCACCAGGGTTTTATGGGAGGAATAACAGTCTAGTTTCCGGGCATTTCACATTTTGATACAATTGGAGGACAGTATCTGCTCCTATAATTGGGCACTTACTGAGCCACTCACTGTGATAAGCATCTTACCTACATCGTCTCATGGGACCTTTGAGATGGGCACATTCAACAACTCATGTTTCAGATGTGGAAGCTGAGACCTAGAGGGTTGGGAAACTTATCCAAGGTCATACAGGAAGTCAGTAGCAGGCGTGTGGGACTTTGTGGCCCATCACACGTTTTTGTTATACCTTTCTTGGGGTCCAAATCTCTCTGATTCAGACTTTTTCTGCCTTAGAGGCTGAGCTACTCACAGTGGCAGCTGGGAGGAAAAGTCACTTTTCAGTAAATGCACTAAAAACAGGCTTTTTTAGAAGCCTAACTCGAAAGCCATTTAAAGTAGAGGTCACAAGGGCCGGCCGAGTGGCTCAGTTGGTTAAGAGCTCGCTCAAGAGTTTGAGCTCTGAGCAACAGCGATTCGAGTCCAGCCCGAGCTGAGCAGCCACTGAGCTGCCAATAGGTAGCAGGATGACTCAGCTAAAAAAAAAAAAAAAAGTAGAGGTCACAAACCCAAATGCCTAAAGAGGCTCAAGGAGATGTAAATAAGTCAAGGGAATGAGTGACGTGGGTTGGAAGTAATACAATAGGGAGTGGTGAGGACTGTGGTAAACTGGAGAGCATGTGGCCCATACAAGAGGAAGGCTGGCACTCAGCTCCAGCAGATGGGTGTCAGGCAGGAATGCTGGCTCAGTGTTTCCATACTTGCCATTTCTGTGTCTCTGTGAAGCCTCTTGATTTTTAAATATTGGAAACAGACTTAATGTCCACTGATAGGAGAATGGGTGAATAAGTTGTGGGACATTTATTCTATAGAATATTATGCAACTAATAAGGAAAAGTTTGACCCAAATGTACTCTCTTGGAAGGATGTTCGTGTTACATCATTAAAGAAAAAAGGCAACATATTTTGAGTAACACCACTTTAAAAGAGAGAACATAAACAACAAGCCATAGCACTGTATGTGTGTGCGTACACACATGTATAAATTTGTATTTGCTTTTATGTGTTTGGGGACAGATGTGGAGGGAAGTAAGTAAAGCAAAGAGAGACAGATGCTGAAAGATCCATCTAGTGTAGAATAGCATAAGGAAGAAGCCCCATATGGCCAGACATTGAATCACTATTCAAATCAGTCTGTTCATGCATATAAAAATATTCTGTGTCATTCATAGGAAATGTGGATAACCGTTTCAATCATTTTCACCACTTGAAGATAATTCTGTCTTGGAGGGTCCTTGTCCCTCCAGGGTCTTTCAATCCCAACAAGGGAGACTGATTGGTCATTAATGTCACACACTCAAAGCTACCCAGTCCTGATAGCTGAAAAGTGATTTTATTTGGCTGCACTGGATTGTGATGCAACTTCCCTAGAGATGAAAAAACAAAGTAAAGAGCATTTGCTTAAAAGGTAAAAAATAAAACAAAACGAAGTACCTCAATTGTTTCCTGTTCTGCTCTGTGTCTGACCTCAATGGACAGCCATGATTTGCAGAGGAAATACCACGTCTGGTCCATCACCAGGTCATGCACCAGCACTCTGCTCACATACCTGGAGAAGGAACCCACACTTTTTGAGGGCAAGATCAGGGGACAAGACTGCTTTGGACACCATGAAGGTAACACCTTTGCAAACCTGAGCCAAGAACAAGAGCTCCTGGAGAGACTACATTTTTCTTCACTGTTCTTGATGCCTTGATCAAAGTGCCCTGATCAGTGGGTGAATTTGGCTTCCTGTGGGGAGTCAGCTAGGGCAGAGAGCCAGCTGTTGCAGGCTGCCATGTTTTCACAGGTATGCTGCAAGAGGGTGCATTCTGAAACTGTTAACCCCGACACTGGGCAGCAAGCCCAGGGCCAGCGTCCAGATACACACGAGGAAAGCCAGGTTGTCTAAATGTGTGTGTTCAGGGAGGTGCAGGCTTGAGTACACAAACCTGATCCTCCCGTGGGCGTCCACCCAGAGAATGATCCTATCATCTACCTTGGACTCAGGACTTCGTGGGCCTCATCTAACCTGAGCTAGGTCTTTGAAGCCCAGGGAAGAAAGGAAATCATGTCTCCCCTGCTGGGATGTCAGATCCAGCAGCAGCCAGTTTCCCCTCCCTGTTGGCTTTACAGCCGATAAGATTAGTAATGATAGCAGCAGCCACTCTTTATTGAACATTTACTGTACAGTGGGGACTATGCTAAGAAGCTCTTGACCTGCATTTTCTCATTTCTGGGAGGACAGCCCTGTCAGGCATGCCAGAGCCACCTCTGTTGAGGTCACAACCCCCCCCTGGGGGAGGCGGCCACCAAAGGCAGGATGGATGGGGACCTTGGCCTGATTAAGAATTTGGGATTCTAAACCCATTTCTGGAAAGTCGGGATCCCCTTGGGACAGGCCGGCTTTGGAGGGCTGCATCCAGCTCAGCTTCTCCCCCTGGTGCTCCTGCCTCTCCCTCCTTCCCGTGGGCTGCTCCCAGGTGTTCCTGGATAAACGCCCTGCATACTCAACTCCATCTCCCAGTCTGCTTTGCAGGAAGCAACCTACAACTGAGGTGCATAAAATGTTAATGTTTAATCCCTTGGGTGAATCAAAGACAGCAGTATAAATGCTGCAATTGTTTATCTTATTAAGTTTCATAACATCTTGACATCCTCAGAGGTGTTTCTGTGTGTGGAGGTGGGTGGGGAGTGGGGAATATTTGAGAGCTTTGTGACAATGCGTCCTTGCATTCATTTATTTATGTGCTCGCTAAGACTCATAAATACTGGGGGTGCCAAAAAAATTTATACACATGACTTGTATTCATCTTTGTTACTGCTATATGCTGAGTATTACAATTTTAATACAGGTTTTTCCTTTCTGAAAATGTGTATACATTTTTTTGGCGCCCTCTGTATTTTGTTGAATTCTCACTATATGTCCGACAAGCTGCATATATTGGAAAAAGAATCAAAACTCTGTTGCTGCAATTTGTTGTTGTTTGGTCTTGTTTCTGTCCTCAGACTTATCTTATAGTCAGGCAGATCTGGGTTTGAATTCTGGATCCTGGGAGGGTGGCTTTGGACCAGTTAATCATACTCTCTGATCCTTGGTTGCCTCCTCTGTAAGACCATAGAGGTACTGTGCAGTAAAGGGTGAACTCAGCAGGCTTGGGTTGTCCAAACCCTGAACGTTCCAAAGAAAAGACTGGATCTTGGCCAGGATAACCTCTAAGTCCTTGGAATATCCTGCATTATAAGAGTGTCTTTGAATACTTGGGGTTTTGAGCCACAGCAGATAATCTATGCTAAAAATGTGATTTATGATGGGGGCTTTGGGCCATGCTGTATCAGTTTGACCTCTGGGCTTGATGGGTGGTGGTTTGCTAGAGACCGAGTAATAAAAATCAATCATGTGGGCACTCCATACCTATATGACTGACTTGCAATTAAACCCTGGACACCAAGGTTCAGGTGAGCTTTACTTTTTGGCATACTTTGCATGTATCGTCACATGTCTTTGCTAGGAGAATTATGTCTGTCCATACGACTCCACTGGAAGCTCTTGCTCAATTTCTCCAGGACCCTTCCTTTGCTGATTTTAATCTGCACCCTTTCACTGTAATACACCATAATCATGAGTATAACAGCTTTTTGAAGTTCTGTGAGTCCTCCTAGCAAATCACTGAACTTGAGGGTGGTCTTGGGGACCTTCAACATGATACCTTCCTCTTAGGACTGTTGTAAGTATTAAATGGGGCAATGCCTGGCATATAGTAAATCCTCAATAAATGGTCAGTATCGTAATCCTCCTGATAATTTGATGAAAAAGGACATTTTTATAGATAAAGAGGCTTAGGGGCCCGTTTGCCTGAGATAACCCCAGGGGTCAAGGCCTGGATTTACAGCTAGCCTCTTGGCTCCTCACCTGGGGCTCCATCCCTTGGATTTTCTGCAAGGGGACACCCCTGCCCCTCCCTCCTATTCCTGGGGACTGTACATTCTCACCTTGGCCTGATCCTGAGCATCCTTTCTCCTTACCCAGATCACCACCAGCACGTAGGCCACACAGAGCCAGCCCACAGTGGTCACAACCACAGGGTTGTCCTCGAATGTGGCAAAGAGCTCACCAGTCTGGCGGACATCGATGACATTGGGCATCACCACGAATGTGCTTCCAAAGAAGGTGAGGTGGTTGCAAAGGCATTGAGTCTGGGAGTGGGTGGTCTGTGGCCCCACCTGTAGCCTCAAAGAGGCCCTGGTGGAAATGTGAGTGCATTCCTGGGTGGCTCGAGCCCACGGGAGAATGATGAGGGGTAGACACTGTCCTTTTAATTAAAATTTAATTTTAAAATGCAGAAAATATTATCTTCAACAAATATCTTTGCACCCATCATTCTCAATGGGCAACTGCCCCTCTCATCAGCCTGTTTTGCCTTTTTTAGGTTAAGTATTTGGGATAAAGCTGAAGTCCTCTCTGTCCCCCACCCTTCACAGCCAACCGTTATCACACTGCTGTGTATCTTTGCAGTCCATTTTCCCACCTCATCCTCATTCATTGGACAGATATTTGCTGAGTGCTAATTCTAGGCCAGGCAACAGGCTAGGTGCTGAGAGGACATCCAAGGTGACCAGTTTATCTCAGTTTCCTAGGGACTTTCCTGCTTTTCAAACTGGAAGTCTTGAGTCCTGGGAGCCTCCTCAGGCCTGGGCAACCTGGGACAGCTGGTCATCTTACACTGAAGAGCAAAAGAAAACCGAGACTGAGGGAACCTTGCAAGGAAAAGGGAAGGACAGATGTTTAATTCTAAGCTGGTGTCTCAGCACCAGGAAAGTATTCCCTACACTTGACACCCCCTCCAATAGATCTAAGCACCTAGGGCCCATGTCCTGGGCTAATCCTTAGAAGGCTCCAGCCCTAGCTGTCCTCGGGCTGTGCCTCTCAAAACAGGATGAGGAATTGGGGCAGAGGGGACACTCCCACCACAGGGCATACCACCCAACCAGGATTAGGGCAAGGCCTTGGGTGACCCTGAGAAGGAGCCCCTCCCTAAATTTTGCATTCTAGATGCCTCACTTGCCTTATCTTTGTCCCAGCCCTGGGATCCCCACACTCCTAGACTGTGGTTTAGGGACCAAGAGCCTCAGAATTCCCTGCTTCCAGGGCCTGCACAGACCGGTTCCTCAGGATGGTCCTCCCATGGTAGACTGGCCACTGGTGTACCCACCCCTGGGCACAAGGGTGGCTGGATATGGCTATGGTGCAGGGCATGTGGATGTATCATGGGACAGTGAGGTCAGGGGAAGGGAGACAGGAATGGCCCAGTGCTTAGGGGTGGGCCTTCCCTAAGTCCCCTGGCCAGCTTGACATACCCCCCCCCTAGGCTATTTAGTGGGTAAAGAAGATTTAATTCAACCCCGCAAGTCAGCACCACCTTTTTGTTCCCGGGTCCGCCATGAGGTGGTGGGGTGGGAGAGAGCAGAAACCACCGGCATGTGGAAAGCCCTTCTCTGCTCAGTGCCCGGTGAGGGAGAACTGCCAGGGCCCCAGCATGCCCCAACGGGTAACTCTCGTGTCTCTTCCTTAAAGGAGCCACCCAGCAAAGGCTGACCCCTGCACGTGACAATAGCACCAACTGTTTATTGATGGATTTCACGTGGGTCTTAGTTCCGTGTTTGCGCCATTGTTTTTCTCAGTGTTTCCCAATCCTGACCAGCATTTGGCATGCCGCTGTGGGGCTTACAGGAATACCTGGCACACCCAGAAGGGGTGGGGCTGGCTTCAGAGAAGAGACCCAAGCAGGCGCCAGTGACACAACTATCTCAGTGCTGGGAGCCCAGGGACCAGACTTGACTTAGGCCTAAGATCTTTGCCCTCCTGGCTTTTCTCAAAGACCTGGAAGGCAGTGGCTTCCTCAGCCTTTCCCAGCATGAGGGCCTCTTTGAACATTGGAAATAATCTTTGCATCCCCTCAAAACAGTAGTTGCATCTTTAGTATCCTTTGAGAAAGGCTATAAGTAAGAACATGGTCCTCAGACTCCTTCAGTAGTTCTGCCTTTACCCCATGACAAGGTCTATAGTCCATAGATTTGGAACTTTCTTTAGCCATTTAGAGAATTCAGAGGTGGTTTTCCATCCAAACTTGATGACCCCATTTACTTATTTATGTCTTCTCAATGATCTCTGTATATCTGTATCTATATAACTATATCTCTATATATCTGTATCTATAATGAGCATCAAGTATACAATATTGGATTAACATAATTTTTGGTCTGTGACACATTTCTACACATGACCTTTGTACCTCCCACAGCGCCTGGCTTCGAATAATGGACTCGGCGATGAGTTTAGTTCCTTGGAAATGACACTCTGGCCTCCCTCAGTAGCCTAGAGTCAGCAGGGCTTCCCAGTCATTTGTCCATTCATTCAGCAGTCGTTTGTTCCCAGTGGTGAGCATAGTACACTGTTCCTGTTTCATGTGGCTCCCCGCACACCAAGGGAGCAGACATCTTTCAGGGATCTCCTAAGAGGATGTATGATAGAGCCACCACTCAACTTAGTGCTACTCAGGAGGCGGGCCTGTGAGCTCTGAGAGTTACCTAGGAAACCTGACCTAGCCAGGGGGTTGAGAAGTTTCTGGAGGAAGTGACACTTCAGGTGGGATCTGAAGGAGGAGTTAACTGGACTGGGAGTGGCAGGGGGAACACGTTCCAGGCAGATATGCAAAGGCACCATGGAGGGGCCGAAGATGGTACATGAGAGGCATTAAAAGGGGACCCTGAACGAGTGAGATACATCCAACCAAGCTTCTCTGCCTTCTTCACTTCCCTCTCCTTACCTGGCACCCGCAGTTGTCCCAAGTCCCCTGGCCCTCATCCCAGAACACACAGTGGGACAGAAAGGTGGTGATGCCAACTGTGACATCCCTGCCGGGGTTTGGATCCAGGTCAGACTCAGGGATCACAGTCAGATAGTAGACACCTTCTCCAAAATGCAGGTCCTGTGGGTTCAGGATCCATGTGGATGGCCCATCTGTAGGAGAGGGGGCTCCAGGTCAGCCTGAAGCCTTGTGGAGACTGGGGCTAATATCATGGAAGAGTGGGGACTGAGGCATCTTGGCAGGGAAGCCTACCCTGATGATCTCCCCAATGTCCTGGGAGTACCCTCTCCTCCTGAGACCAGGAACATAGAAGAAGAAGCACTCCTGGGTCAGTGTGCAGAGCATGGCTGCTAAGTCAGACAGGTGAGGGCTCAAATTCTGACTCTGTCCCTTCTTGGCTGTGTGACTTTAGACTAGTTACTTAACCTCTCTGTTCTTATCTAGAAAGTAGAGACTTTAATAGTCCCCATCCCTGAGGGTTGTCATGAGGATTGTAATGAGGTCAATTCTGTAAGTACTTGTCAGCTTCTTCACAGCACATAGTAAATGCTTACCTAATACTGCTGAATAATAATAATAGTAATAATAATAATACCACCAACAAAAATAAACACTTAATGTAGCAAGTGTTTTTATTTTCTTCTTTTTTCTTTTTCCCTGTGGTTTCTGATTTCTCAAGTTCAAGGTGGTCATACCCCCAGGAATCCCCTCAAGAAATTGGCCTGGTGCTAGGACTGCCTGGAGCAGCCATTGGTGGAAGGTGAGCTTTGGCATCATAGCTGGTCTTGTTGGGGTGGTAGCCATAGCCCAGGCTGAGCGTGAATGGGATGTCAGGTCTCCAGTGCAGCTGGATCTCCAAAGACAACCCCACTAAAGTCAAACTCACCCGCAAGGCTTCAGGACTGGTCAGGTTCAACACGGTCGGCTCACTGTATCCTTCTGAAAGCTGAGGCAGCAGAATCTGTCATCAGAAACAAGCAAATCAGGAGTGTTCCAGGAGGGGAATTCCAGTGAGCATCAAGGCTACTGTACAGACTGGGCAGGGTGAGCACCTGGGGAACCAAAATCCACTGTGTGCTTTGCTCATTCTATTAGTTTCCTGGGACTGTTACAACAAATGACCACAAACTTGGTGAAAACAACACAAATGTGTTACCTTACAGTTTTAGAGGCGAGAAATCCAAATTCAGCTTCACGGGGCTAAAGGGGGCAGGGTGGTTCCTTCTGGAGATTCTAGGGGAGAATCCACATGTTTTCTGTTTCCGGCTTCTGGAGGCCACCTGCATCCCTTGGCTCATGGCCCCGTTCTCCCATTCCCCCAGCCTCTTGCTTCTGTCATCAAATCACCCTTTCCTCTTCTGGAGTCACCTTCCCCTCTGCCTCCCTTTTTATAAGGACCTTGTGATGAAACTGGGCCCACCCAGATAATCCAGCATCACCTCTATCTCAAGATCCTTAACTTAAATCACATCTGCAATTGACGTCTCAGGTGACATAGTCATAGGCTCAGGGATGAGCAAATAGACATCTTGGGGCCTTTATTCAGCCTACCGTGCTCATCAAGCTATGCACCTGGGTTTGGGGCTGCATCTGCATCGAAAGAGGGGAGACTTTTTCTAATTTGCACAAAACTGCTATGTGAACTAGTGTTGGGGTTGATGAAAGTGTTGAGCAAGATAATGTAAGTTAGGAACAGTCTGCTTGGATCTTGGCTGTGCTCTATATTTGCTCTGGGAATTCCAGCCAATTAACAAACCACTTTAAGCCTCAGTTTCTTGAGAACATTAGAAAGTATAGACGCATTGAGAGTATTAAAAATGATATCTCATACAAAATGCTTAGCCAAGTGCCAGAACACAACAACACTCACCAATTAGTTGCTGCTATTACTCTATTACTCTTACTTAGCAGTTCTCATAACCACTCTCCATTTAATCAGCTCTGCAGATTAACTGATACTGTCCATTCCCTTTTTAAAGCAGACTGATTGATGCCCACTGCACACTGTTATTTACTCCTGGATGACGGAATGTAGTACCCAGCTTTCCCTTCCAGGAACAACCTGCTACCCAGTCACAGGGAGTGTGGTCAGCAGACACGCTCCAGTTCCCAGCTCCTTCAGGGTCCACCCTGGCTACAGAGACTCACCTTGCCTGGGGGCCTCCTTTCCTGGGGCTGCCTGCATCCAGATACACTGACCTGATGTGAGACACTCTTGTCTCGTTTGTACTCATGGGACTTTAACTTATGGAAGCAACTGAGTGATGGCATGAAGAGGTCAATGCCATTGAAAGAAGAATTTGTACTTAAATTTCCTGAGAGGAAGGGACCTGCCAGGCCACGCAGGGCCACAGGAGAAGCACCAGGTCAGGAGGCAGAAGCAGCCATGGGGGCCGGGGGAAGGTTAGCACGTGGCCTTTATTGGGGTTTCAAAAGAAATGAAAGGCAGGGTAAACAGTTTAGGACTGACCAGTTGGAATCATTCTGGAAGGCTTAGGCTCTAGGGGTGGTCTCTGATTGCCTGGTACCTGGTCTGGGGATGATTTCAGCCAGGGCTGAATATTGGCTTGGCGTGTGAGCATTAGGTAAAGGAAATAGCTGGGGTATAGACTCAGGGTTGGTTGGTCTGCATATGAAAGGCTTGCCTGGCAGAGCCCTTTGCTATCTCTAAGACCTGGCTGGTCCTGGGAGGGACAGTCTCTCCCCACTAGCAGATGTTTAAGATATCAAAACATAAGATACAGAAAATACCAAACACAGTTAACATAACCCTGATGGCTAAGACTTGTTGTAGGGTTCCCCTCCAGGTGACTGAGGCTATGTGAGGTCTGGACTGCAGTCTGACTTTTTGGGCTTAGTCCTGTTTTCTTTCTGTATTCTTCGCAGGTGTTGATCTCTAGCAAACAAACATCTTGCACTGCAAATTCCTTCTCAGCCCCTTCTTCTAGAGAACCCATGCTATGACGTCGTCTCTCTAGTAATCCTGACACCTCTCTCCTGCCAGCCGAGTTATGTGCTCACCAGTAGGCAGTCGTGTTTGACCTGCTCATGCCAAGCCTGCGTATGTCCGTTGTACTTGTGACTCTAGAGATCCATTTTAATGATGTATTTCATATGGCGACATAAGGTGATGAGGAGTATGAAAAGAATGATTTGCATAAAAACTTAAGTTGAATGCTTTGAGAAGACTTCATAAAGATGAGTTGCTAAAAATTGTTATTGAATTAATGATTG